TATCTTATCGTTTGTTTATCACACTGCAAATAAAATTGAGATCATTGCAGTGTTTTGTTTAATATTTGATACGATAGCGGTATTTTAGTAAGAAGTTATTCCAATGATGAAACCTTCTTTCTTATTCTAGTTATTAATTTATGGATTCAAAACTGTTTTATCTAAGACTATTATAGAATTTACTGTAAAGAATAGTAAAGATACAAGAGTCTTAACTCATGTGGTAAAGGTTCTTCTTTATTTTTTGTATGTGTCTTACGGAATTCTTGTTAGTACCAAATGGAGCATGCTTTTCAAAATTCTACTTAAAGTAGTAATAAGCACTTTGTATGCTTTTACAAGGATATCGTTGCATTGTAAACTGGCATGCAAACACTTCACATAGCACTAGCAGATTTCCAACAAAGGTATTTTAGAATCTTCGACTATTTCTTGGACAAGAAATCGCGATACGTGACCGGGGTGGCAAAGTAGTTTCGCCGTGTATACCAAATATGTCAGTGCATGCACCATTATGGGCATAGCTGCAGAGTCGAACTGGCCATCGGCTGTCGTGAACATTGTTACCGCTGTATGCGCCGTAATGACGACAGTAAAGATGAGATGCATCCTACTTAGTTTCTGTGTTCTGCAAATAGACGTTGAATCTCATTACTTATCTCATACTATAAATCAAACTTTGTTGACAATTTAACTTGGAGTAATTTATCAATTTCTATATCAAGTTTATCTTTGTTGTTTACGTTTTTTAATCATAGTTTGGTTTAATTTTTGTTAGAATAAAATATCCAGTTATAAGTGTCATTGGAGTTTACAGTCTAATGGTTTAGTTCGTTTAGCCGTTCTAATTGATAAAGGTTGAAAAACTTCTACCTTCTACATTTATAAGAAGATTATAGGTCACCTACACCAAAGCTAAATCCAGTTCTAAAAAAAGGACTGTTGATCACTTCATCCTTGTAAGTGATAGAAATAATATTAAATGAAATAAATTATATGATTTATATACATTTTTTAAAATTATATGTAATAAATACTGATATATAGTAACGCCGTTAGCATTTAATGTGTACATAATGAGTTTCTGTAATTGGCCTTAAGATTGTTTTTATATTTTATTGTATTAAATCCACAATGAAAAACGCTGTAGAAACTTTGTTAAAGAAAAATAAATAATTAAGAGGATTTAAAATCATCATTCTAAATCTTCTTATTACTATCACTTTTTTGAGGTAAATCATTTGAGGACCATTTGCAAAAAAGTTCTTTGATGGTATTTAAAACAAAAATATATTAAGACATCTCTTAAACATGTTTTTGTTCAACTTTTTTGCAAATGGTCCTATAATTATTTTGTTTTACTGAACTTGAAAAAGTTTTTAGTTCAAGGTCTGAATCTGAATCTAGGTCAATTTATTTTTACTATCATTAAAGTACGTTAGTGTTCGCTGTACATGTGCGTGCTCTGCTCTGCCCATTTGCATTTATGTAACTTATTTTAAAATAATCCAAAGTACCTACATGTGTTAGCAATGTTTCTTTTGGTAGCCTCATTTCTCGAAGATATTTCAAGGGTATTCACCCGAATAAACAGCAGCTGTGGTTTGTATATTTACAAAATAAATGTAAAATTTCACACGCGGTGTCTGCAATCTATTGCATCGGCCATATTTTTGAGCTCGCTGCTTGTTCTCTGAGTCACATAAGGGTCACGAGGAGGTTACAGTGACGTCATTTTAGAATAAAACGGTCTTGAATGAAACTTAAAATAAAATTCATTATCTTAACAGACGTTAAACAGAAGGGATAACATTCAATTGACTCGATGATGATCAGACGTTTTTTTGTATATCGTAAAACATTTGGTGTAAACTGTGGACATATTTTTTTTTGATGTGGAGTCAAGTTCTCTTTGATTTACTTTTCTTGGTGGTTTTTCACATAGAACATTATTAATCGTTGCTTTATGGAATTGCAGTACAATACATGACTAACTTGAGTAGTAATTAGCGCACACGTCAAGTGTCAAGTTGAAAGTTCATTTCGACCCGTCTCGGTGGTCTGACAATGTTTTTATAGCCGTGAAAGCTGTCTGGCGCCTACGACTTACAATTTATAGCTGGAAAGCAACGTCAACTTTATTTATGTTCAAAACACTACATGTTGAGCATTGCAGCGATATGCCAGTGATTCCTTGTCAAGCGAATGTTGATAGCATTCTGTACTATTTTCTTGTTTGCTCTAATGCTTCCGTGTGAATTAAGCTTTGTTGTTTGTTAATCTACTTATGATTTTGTCTTAAATATAATCCTTCCCATTTTTAGCTGTATCTATGAGGCTAAATAAGCTTATCTGCCCAATGACCTCTTTTTGTAGGTCCTCGTTTTTTAACTTTATTATCATTATAATCATAAAGATCCGTTGTTTAAATAATAAAATTGCTAAGCAACCAAAAGCTTAGACGGAAATAGCGCCTTGTTTACACGATTCGGTGATAATGATGGTTTCTTGATTTATTTTGGACTTTTTAAAATTTGCCTTTACCTATTGTAGTAATCGTGTATTTTAAAAATGTCTGTCGATCTATGTTTGTGTTTTGTTTCTTTTCAAACAAAAACAATCTTAGGATCTTAGTGATATTGATGAGACAAAAATATGTTTTTTGTTTTACTGAAATTATTTTGACGCTCGCGTTTGTTTTGCTTTTGTCCTTGGCACCAGTCACTGTTATTGATAGTAATAAAATAAATGGTATAAATCTTATCAACAGACCTAACATAGTCATTTCATTACTCATCACAACATCATCTTCTGGTTTAATGTTTTAACTATATTATTTCCTTTTATGGTCATGTTCGTATTATAAATTGCTGTGATTTTATAATCATTGTCATGTGTGGCGTTTATACTTGTTATTATAAAGCTTTTTTATTTTTTCTAGATATACATACTAACATATAATTCAACTATAGGATAACAAAATAAGTAGTAAGTAACTGTATTACCACAACAGTCTTAATCTAGAGATAAGAAAAAAAAAGTTTTATATTAAATTAGTTTAATTAATATGTACATTAGGAAAAATAGCATAATCTTTTTTATGAAACTGTTTATAAAAACCCAAAATTATTTTAATTCCGGAAAATGTGCTGTAAATTTTCGATGAATATCGAATAATCAATTCAGTCGTGTCTCGTGTCTAAATGTATCTCAATTACAGGTAGAATATCTTACCAACAATATTCTTTTATTAATATGCGAAATATTTTTTCATAATAGTAAATACGACGTAGTCAGATACATTTTACTGTATGACTCAGATAATATGTAATTAGATGTTCTTATAACTCTACCCCATGAAGAAACTTTGTACATGAGTCACTGCTGAGCGGAAGCAAAACGAATGTGGTTTCACAAGACGCCAATATTATCTACGACTTTTATGTCACAATGAGTATAGGAGTTTAACGCTTAATGTCTTGAAAATAAGATCGAGATCGAGTCACGACAGGGTTCAAGTTAATTTTGTTCTACATTTTGACGTCACAGTCACGATGCTTCTGGTCGGGGATTTAGGGATCCGTTTTGTTCACAGAACACTGAAAGAGGTTAGAAGAGTGATCATAGATCGTTTGTACGGGAACCGTTGTCGCCGGCTCGCCCCCACTACTCTTCCACCTAATAAATAATAGCCAATAAAACGATGCGACATCAAACAATTGACCCAATCAGAGCTCACACCCGAGAGCAACGACGCAATCAGAACAAAGTTTTAATAAAGTTATGAGCATTTGCTCACACATAACTGTGGCGCGCCTGCCCCGCCCACAAGGCCCTACTAACCTCTTTCTGTGTTTTGAGGTTTTGTTCGTGGAGCAGAGATGACTTTGACGAAGTGCAATCAAAGTACCTATATTATCCCCCATAATAAACGAAGAGTAAGCTTGGATTAGTTACCTCATGTTTTGTCTCTATTAATTGAATAACAAATATTTGAGTGATATGAAGAAAACACGGTGTAACTAGTCTAAACTTATACCTCGTTAATTATTAAGAGGGTACATGTAGGTGTATAATATTTGGATTTGGAGCTTTCAAAACATTAAAGTATAGACTGTCCTTTTCGTTATTTTTCATTTTGAACGTAGTATTATTGAGATGTCCTAGGATAGGAATCAAATAAAGAATACATTGACTTTATTTATCTTAATCCTGTGAAAGGTTTTATACATCTTTAAAAAACTAATAAAATGGTTTTTTTTTATTTGGTAGCTCACGCAATTCATTTTTTTGCCTTATTACACTTCGTACCACGGAGCAATAACAATGGGCATGAATTCAAAAATATCAAAACATGGAGGTTTAGTTACAGAACCCCTTTTATGAAAACATGATTATGCACTTGACAGATATCTCATATCCGTTCATTAAGCGCGATGTGGTCGGTCAAAGGATTTTCTTTGTAATAATGAAAAGGATATCATCTGAATGTCGTTGAAAAAATATTTGCCACAAATGGGGATTTAACGTTTAATACAAATAATAATAATTCACTGTGGTTACTCTTTTATAAGTGGTCTTTCTTCCCTAAAATGCAATCGCCATTAGTATCTGTCTCCGCCGCCCCAAAGCGAGGGGGAGGTGAAAAGCTCAGCCCACCTAACCTAACATAACCTTTTCCCCCTATCCCCATTTTCTTTCTTCTCATTTGTGTCTTACATTCTCTTCTCTCTATTCTCTGAACCATCCTCTACTCTTTCTCTCCACATTCTACCTCCGCTCTTCTGTCCCCATCTCGAAGCGGTCTCAAGAGCAGAGGTAAGACCCGTGCATAATACAAACAGTAAGTTACAATTAAGACGATAACTCTGTAATATTGTCTAATCCCTGTCTAAACGATGGTGAGAACTTAATTCGCCAAGACCGCAAGTTTACTTACCGAAGTGTTTGAAGTGTGTGTAGTTTATCAGTATCGATTTCTAATTTACACTTTTCTTCGCAGACTTCAAGAAGGATTGGTCGGACCACGCCCTCTGGTGGCCGGCGCGCAACAAGTGGCTCTCACGGCCAAAACATACCCTGGACCAGTACGGAGTGCACGCGGACGCCGCTCTCCACTTCACACCCATGCACAAGCCCCTGCGCATCCAGCTGCCCGACCTGAGATACATCGACTGCAAGATCGACTTCTCCATAGACACGTTTAGTGCAGTGGTACAGCTTTGCAAAAGCTTAGGTAAATGCAGGAATTACTATCATCATTAGACTAATGATGTTCCCATGTAGACGCCGCTTTATACTTCACGCCAATGAACAAACCCCTGTGCATCCACCTGCCTGACCTGAAATACATCGACTGCAAGATCAACTTCTACATTAACATGTTTAGCGCAGTAGTTCAGCTTTATAAAAGCCTAGGTAAGTTCAAGAATCTCTTATCTAATAGACAAGTCCGTCCGTCCGTCCGTGGTGCTGTTTCAGCGGCCAAACCGTAAGAGATAGATATAGAGAATGTTTAAGTTATAAGTTAAGAATAGTCTGATAAGACTACAAACCGGATGTGAGTAACGTAGCACTTCCGGTTTTCGAGAAATCACGTGATTTCTATTTCAAACGAAACCACACAAAATCTCCGAAGTTCTCAATTAATTAAATACATTTTTTTTTTGGTGAACATTTGGTTCACTGGTTTGCTAGTTACTATCATAATTAGGTTATTAATGTTTCCATATAGCACATGTCTGAGACATTTCACGCCCATACACAAGTCCCTGTGCATCCTGCTGCCCGAACTGAGATACATCGACTGCAAGATTGATTTCTCCATTGACACGTTTAGTGCAGTGGTACAGCTTTGCAAAAGCCTAGGTAAATGCAAGAATTACTATCATCATTAGGCTAATGATGTTCCCATGTAGATGCCGCTTTATACTTCACTCCAATGCACAAGCCCCTGCGCATCCATCTGCACAACCTGAGATACATCGACTGCAAGATCGACTTCTCTATAGACACGTTTAGTGCAGTGGTACAGCTTTGCAAAAGCTTAGGTAAATGCAGGAATTACTATCATCATTAGACTAATGATGTTCCCATGTAGACGCCGCTTTATACTTCACGCCAATGAACAAACCCCTGTGCATCCACCTGCCTGACCTGAAATACATCGACTGCAAGATCAACTTCTACATTGACATGTTTAGCGCAGTAGTTTTGCGTTATAAAAGCCTTGGTAAGTTCAAGAATTACTATCATAATTAGGTTATTAATGTTTCCATATAACACATGTCTCTACATTTTACGCCCATTCACAAGCCCCTGTGCATCCAGCTGCCCGACCTGAGATACATCGACTGCAAGATCGACTTCTCCATAGACATCTTTAACGCAGTTGTACAGCTTTGCAAAAGCCTAGGTAAATGCAAGAATTACTATCATTATTAGGCTAATGATGTTACCATGTAGACGCCGCTTTAGACTTCACGCCAATGAACAAACCCCTGTGCATCCAATTGCTTTACCTGAAATACATTGACTACAAGATCAACTTCTACATTAACATGTTAAGCGAGTAGTACAGCTTTGTACAAGCCTAGGTAAGTTCAAGAATTACTGTCATCATTAGGTTATTAATGTTTTCATATAGCACATGTCTGAGACATTGCACGCCCATACACAAGTCCCTGTGCATCCAGCTGCCCGACCTGAGATACATCGACTGCAAGATCGACTTCTCCATAGACACGTTTAGTGCAGTGGTACAGCTTTGCAAAAGCCTAGGTAAATGCAAGAATTACTATCATCATTAGACTAATGATGTTTCCATGTAGACGCCGCTTTATACTTTACGCCAATGAACAAACCCCTGTGCATCCACCTGCCTGACAAAGGTGACTGACATAGTGATCTATCAACGCACAGCCCAAACCACTGGACGGATCGGGCTGAAATTTGGCATGCAGGTACATGTTATGACGTAGGCATCCGCTAAGAAAGGATTTTGATCAATTCTATCCCCAAGGGGATAAAATAGGGAATGTAAATTTGTATGAAACTTTGTCACTTTTAAACTGATCGGGCTGAGACGGGCGGACCGCTAGTTATCATCATATTTTTGTTCCCACTGCTAGAGTACCAACCACGGAACACAGAAAGAGGTTAGAATGGCCTTGTGGGCGGGGCAGGCGCTCCAAAGTTATGTGTGTGTAAATGTTCATTCTGGCATGATTCTTTTAATTATTTTTTCGAATCGACACCTTTGATCATTATAATTTGAATATAATATCATTATTAAAGAAGAATCTTCTTAAAAGTTCACAAACACACTGATGTTGATAGTAGACAATCTGTTTTTCGAGTTCAACACTTGAAAAAGTTTTTATTGCTCATTTTTTACGACTGCGCGGTATACAAGCATAAATAAACGATTAATGGCCGTCGGCAATAACGATACAACCTTGGCGTAAACAAAGACCTAGGCGCAAATATTTTTGTCTTGCTTAATCATCCTCTGGAGCAGATGAAATATCTAAGGTGATACCGGTGTCATGGTTAAAACAGTCAATGTAAAAGCCTTCATTTCTGCTCATGGCAGTTGTAGATTGTCAGGACAATTTTAGCCTACCACCCCACACTAGTGAAATTAACGCAAATAGATTATAATAATAATCAATAATCATTTATTCAGTTTAGGCTATTACAAGCACTCCTGAATATCTAGAAGCTACGCCATCGGTTCGTAAATCTACGGCGGGAGACCTTGTACTGAGAAGAGCCAACAAGAAACTCAGCAAAGGCTGTTTCAACGTGAATACTTACAAGTTTCTAGTAGGCTCTTAGGAGTAGATTTTTTTTTATTCAAGTAGGGTTCAAACGCAATAGTGTATTTTCCAAATTTTTGAAAACTGCTTATATTTAAAGATTGGGACAAACGATTTAACAGAAAAATAAATAAATAATAAATTAATGTCTTTTTTCTACATTAGACCGATTAAAATTGTATTTATTTTTAATGGTTTTGAATTTACCGGCAATACGCACGGTTCGATGGCGTCTACTGTGCGACGTCAACTTTGTGTAAAGAATTTTAACACCTATGTTGTCTGTGGACGATCTGTGAATACGGAGTAATTATTTGACGATTTCTTTGTAAGAGTATTTCGATTTTACTTATTTTCCACAATGGAAGCCGGGTTTCTGAAAGCCGACTAACTCGATTTTACTTGTTGTTTACACAAAGTTGACGACACATAGTAGACGTCATCGAACCGAAAGTTTTGGCGGTAAATTCAAAACCATTAAAATAAATTCAACTTTAATTGGTTTAATGGAGAAAAAAAGACATTAATTAATGTATTTTTATTTTTCAGTTAAATCGTTTGTCCCAATCTTTATATATAAGAGTTTTTCGCGCGTAGATAAGAACGTTTATATTTTCACCACAAAATAACATAAAAGAAGCAAAGTTGCTATTAGTGTTGGGTAGGACACGACTTGAAAAAGAGTTTGTAAGAGTAGCCTCTTTTTTATACTGAGCTATTACAATGTCCCACTTCAAATGAGGCGAGGCGTACTGAAGCTCGGCAATACATTTGAAGTGACAAGTACAAATATGACATTGATTCGTACAGAAGCTCGACATTATGTTTGTGTGCACGAGTAGCACCTCCTCTACGCACTATCAATCTTGCTGGATCCAGCATGCAGGACAGCGCTATTTACGTAAAAGAGATAGAGATACAGATGGATAGTGCGTAGAGGACTTAAATGAAATGTCATGCCTCGCTCTCTCTCAGACTTACGAAGAGTGAGTGAGTAACGAGACGCGACTATCGCTACATTTCATGTGAAGTAGTACATTTTAAAATTTTGAGCCGCTCTTACATTTTGACGTCATGTCCGGGACAAATGTATCGCCTCTTGTAAGTCCTACTCAACACTAGTTGCTATGAACACCCAAAACTTATATAGTTTGTATCTATTCCAGGCATAAGGCATCCGGAGGAACTGTCCCTCTGCTACCCACTGGAGCCGTCGCATCTGAAACAGAACTACCAGAACCTCAAAGAGGCCAAACGGATAAAGTCCCCCCCAGACACGAACACTTTCATAGCGGCCACGCGAGGTTCTTCCAACAGTTTGGATAGGTCGAATGGCCAGTGTCCAGCGACGCCGCCACCGCCCAGGTCCTTGTCCGCTACACCAGTGGCGTCACAACACGTGAGTTTCTAAATAAGATTGATAATATATAAATTATTTCTCCTTCCCACAATAACGTCGTTTAAGAGAGGCGTGAAGAAGCATTTTTGCAGGCCGGCAAGGTGATGATGGTTGGTGTCGCAGTTTATAACTGCTGTACCAGTTATCTTCGCGTTTGGACTTTATCACTACTTAACATCAGGTGGGGTAGAGTCATTTGCCTACCTGGCTATATATAAAAAAAAGAAAAAACTTCTGTTAGGGGTTAGTTACTTTTAGTTAAAGTTAGATATTAGTTAGTTAGTGTAGTTTTCATACATACTTTGACGATGCGACACGTCACCAAGCTGTCAATAATTCGTACTTGGGCTTCTTCAAGGGAATCGCGTTTTGTAGACCGAATAATTATTTGGAAATTGACACCTAAAATGGTGGCTACTGGGATATGGTCGCTCTTGATGGTAAACGCCAAACAAATGTTATTCCTGATTGGATTGGACTCGCGTAGCGAGACCAATCATTTATCTATGTCTAATTCATATAGACGTTTGTAATGTTGGAATGGTAGCTCTCTTGGCTGCTAATTCAGAGTCTTGCACTACCTATTCCGAATTTAACCAACTCGCAGTCCCAATTTCTCTCTAACAGACAGTCAGTACCTATTGAGTCATTACTGCAAAGAGCACATTAAACATTATATTATAAATATTTATCCTCTGTCATAATAAAAAATAACAATGTATTCTTGGCCTAATATGAAATAGGGTATTTGACAAGTTTTAGAAAACGATCTTACGTTATTGACTAATGTTTATGGAGTCCGTAAATATAAATCATTCTGTTGTGTTTTTCAGTAAAAAATAACCAAATCAAAAACTCCATTTTCAAGTTGCCGCGAAAACGTTTTTCTGGACAATATGGCGTGTGACGTCACACGACTGATATGAATACGTCAAACGATACAATGTAATGTCACTTTAACCGGAAGTTTACTTGCGTGTGACGTCATTTTAGGCTCCGCCAATCCTAAGCGTTTTGGGTCATGTGACAATAGATTAGAAAACTATTATCTTTTTGGCGGGTTTTTAGTAAAATTATGAATTTTTTTTTGTAAAAATAGTAAAAACCCCTGCCAATATCCATTCTAAACACAGATGCTAACAATTGACACTTTATTTTTATTACTGTCAAATACCCTATTCGTAATTTGAACTATAAAATAAACAGAATCCAAGCTTATTCTTCGTTTTGTAATAAGGGATATCCCCCTAAGTAACATTAAACTAAATAATAAAGAATATCTCCCTTGTAGTGTCAGTGAAAACCTCTATATCAGCAAAATGTTAGTGAGTATAAAATACTTGCATTGAATATTCGACTTTATTGTATGGCATTTAGAATCACAATTGTATCATCTCTTCCTTTGATACACAGCATGACGGCGTGATTCATGCACTCTAAACAAAATATACGTCACCGCTTTACAAGTTTAACTTTAAGAAATTCTAATATTTTTGGGATGAGTCACTGTCTCTGAATGTTCCTTTAATTGGATCTTCAAACTCTACATTCGCGGAAATAACACTTTAGCATTAATGTACCTACAAACATAGATTCACGACATTATTCTTCAAATCATAGCAAAGTCGGCAGCTTAAGGTAGATAAATTAGATTAATATAAACACAACATCGCTCCTACAGCCAGGCAGGCGCGGTCGCAGCCTGAAATTTTGGAGGGGGTCACTCATTACCCTAATAAAAAAAACCGGCCAAGAGCGAGTCGAACTCGCACACCGAGGGTTCCGTACACACCTGAATTTTTAAAAATATTTTTTATTATATGATGTAACTAAAAATTCACGGTTTTCGCAATTATTTCTTTACAATTATTTCTTTATCAGCTGTAGGTACTATAAGACGTTACTTTGTACCAAATGTCAAGATGACCTTAGATTGGGGGACCTTCGGACCGCGCCTGCAGCCAGGGCATAGCGGATTTCCTCACGAATTGGAACGCCGGCCGGGCAAGTAACCTCCTCTCTACTTAGTAAAATAACACTACCCTTTGGTAGTGTTGTGTTTCTGTCGGTGAGTAAGGTTCCAGGACTCCACGGGTTAGGGGATTGGGTCATGGTCAGTGTTGCCAGGTCAGAGTTTTAAAAATCGGGAGGCGTTATAGGAAAAAAAACAGAAGATGTATGAAAAGAGGTACAAGAAAAAACAGCAGATGCAGTGCCCCCCCTCCCCCCTACAATTGGTAAATAATACAAATATATAAAAATACGAATGATTTCTGTAGCTTCTGCCGCTCCAAAAGCCCGGTATTTTTTTGACAATAACATTTTTTTATTGTAACTAAGGTTAACTACATTCTTCATCATCATCATCATCATGAGCCTAATAATGTCCCAACTGCTGGGGCACAGGCCTTCCCTATAGATGGAATAGGGCGATTGGGCCATGACCCACCACGCGAGCCCAGTGCGGGTTGGTGGGTGCTAACGACTAAATACATTCTTAATGGCGGTAAATGAAACTCAACAAGTAATTTAAAAAAGAAAATCGTATTCTAAAAAAACAGTGGATTCATATAGAAAATCAGAAGAACAGGAGAAATCTCAGAAAAACAGGAGAACTCCTGTAAAATCGGGAGACCTGGCAATCCTGGTCATGTTAGGCAATGGTGCGAGTGATATTTTTGGTATTGCAAGCGTCTACAGGCTATAGTGACCACTTTCCATCAGGCGGTCTGTTTGCTACACTTTTGACATAAAAAACATATCAACGATGATTTTACATAATTTAGCATTATATTGCATTTTGTTTGGCGTTCGGACGTCATTAGGCGCTGGCTGAAAATCAGCGTTGCTGTGCAAAAGTACTACCACAGTAGCCTAGCTGAGACAGTGACCTGTTGGCCCTGCACAGCAACATCTTAGATTAGTTATGTTGTTTTTGACGTGACAACGTCTTAAATTAGGTTGCGGCTGGGAGTCACTTATGAAAAAGTGTAACGCTCGGTAACGTTACGATGAGTCTCTCGTGTTAAGTTTAAGTTTACATGTACAATGTTTTAGTAAACAAAATATATTTCTATAGTTAAAATTTGTGCAATTCTTATTTTCATTCAATTCCTTGTTCCTATTGTGCAATTTAATTATATTCATATCAATAAATATTCTACCGAGAAAAAGACGTTGTCACGTAAAATCTTCGCCCGTAAAACCGACTTTACAGGCAACCATTTTTTCTTTTTTGTTATGTTCTTCGATACTGTTTTGTTTTCAATGTATGTATGCTGTGTAACCAATAAATGTTTTTCTTTCTTTCAACGACTACGCCACATTTGGCATTGGTTGTATGCATAGACATAGAAAATGACTTGAGCGTTCTTTAGCAGTGGCCACTCACCATCATACCGCTTGATCAAGTGGCTTTGATCAAATGGGCTATAGCGGCAGGATGGTGAGTCACCGTGTTAAAAAAATGGTACGCAACACCGTACTTTATTATAGTGAAATAGAAATAGCAAATTGTTGTATTTTATTGTTGATAAAAATAGCTGATGTCGTAATCGAATGAAGTCTTTAAACAAGGCAAGTCATGCATTGCATCTAAGCGAAAAACGAGGGAATATAAAATACATATAATTAATTATCTTTAAACTTGGAAAGTATTTCATTTTTACTACAAGTCAGCTCTCTTCTCTTATCATGCGCACAAACTCATAGCCGAAGAATTTTGCTATCCAAATCGCCTTTCATAATTCATCTATGTTTTTACATATCACAAAAAAACATTCAGACTGTTTTATTTTAGACTTAGAGAGCATACGCATCACCTTCATGTCATTGATAACTCTTTCGATAAAGAGAGCACAGCGGCCTGGATGACGCGGCTGTAGTATACGCCCACAGAACACAGAAAGAAGTAAGAAGGGTGATCATAGACCGTTTGTACGGGAACCGATGTCGCCGGCTTGTCCCTACTACACTTCCACCTAATAGATAATAGCCAATCAAAAGACGCGACATCAAACAATCGAACCAATCAGCGCTCACACCCGCAAGCAACGACGCAATGAGAACCAAGTTTTGGTCGAATTATGAGCATTTGCTCACACGTCACTATGGCACGTCTGCCCCGCCCACAAGGCCCATGTAACCTCTTTCTGTGTTCTCTGCGCGATTGGCTTTATTTGTCTGTCATTTCTCGTAGAATGGCACGCTACGTCGATACGGCGGGCACATATACAGCACACAAAGCGACGGATCCAGCGATGGCGGTTACTGCGGCACCCCGCCGCGCGCCGCGTCGCTGGACGCGCTTGATTCACTCGCAGACCTGTCGCTGGCTGACTCGCCGGTCACAGACACACAGTCCCGGGAGTCGCTGCTCTCGCCTAAATCCCTCATGGAGCGCGCCAGAATGAACGTTGGGTAAGTTTGTTTTGTTTACTTCTGGAACGTCGAATCCTGACATCGTCGATCCCACAGTGCCTAAAGACGATAAGTGCGTCCTACCTTTGCCCAAGATCGATCTCAGTTGCGTGCAATTGAAGAGGCTTATGTCCAGCAGTAGATAGGCTGTTGATAATGGTGTCGATTCTGGCGTAATTCTCTAAAGTTAAACTTAAATTTCACAGCGTATCTCTGTCACTTTCTATACAGAATGAAAAGGACAGATTGATGTTAAATTTAGTTTTAAGTTAAGAGAATCCTGCCATAATTGACATTAATTTTTGATGACCTCTAGGATAACTGTATAGTATATCTATCATCATCAGCCTATTAACATCCCCACTGCAGGGGCACAGGCACATCCTATGGATGGAATGGGAAAACTGGGCCGTGACCCACAACGCGGGCCCAGTGTCGATGGTGGGTGCTATTGACTGCAAATACAGCCAAACGGCTTAACATGCCTTCCGAAGCTTGGAGGAGCTCGAGATAGTAAGTTTTAAAAACCACTGTGAAAGTTGCTTAACTTCTACGATCGCAGCCGAATGCGTATCATAATAGTATATCTATGGTTAGGACAGTATTAGTTGAAGATGTTAGATGTGTATTTTAGACGATCGCATAGAGTCGCTATTCAACCCCGTTTTCAGCTTTACAAATTAACCATTATTTGGGTACAGACTTTCCAAATGTCCTCATCATCAGCCCATTAATGTCCCCACTACTGGGGCACATGACCTTTCTTATGGATGGAACACCGTTGGGGCTATCACCCAGGTCAGCAGGCTGTCAAAATGGCAAATAGCAAACACGAATGGCCAAGCGAAATGCCGGCATTACATTTATAAGTTATCTGGTAGTTGTGGCCATTGTCAAACGAGGCCCTGTCCCCGTAGCATGAGCACAGAATTAACATTTTGTCACGTGTTTTTGTCGCGTCTAACTGCCAAACTACATATCGTCGTTGCGCTTGGAAAAACCGACAAACGTTAAAACCAAAATTTTCAGGAGACATAAAAAACTGATTGGAGCTAAAATTGAATACTTAGGTGTAAAATCAAATATGCAAAAAAATAAAAAAATATGTTACACAATAGATTACAAATTAAGTTTCAAGAAACAATAACATCTCTTTGATAGAGATTTTTTTTTCATAATTTAAGACACTTAGCTGGTTTTTTTTGTGTCGTAAAACACCGCTATGTATTTTTCTGACACAAAGCTGATTTCCCGTTTAAGATTTAACACCCTTCACTAGCCTATATATCCACAAAACGTATTTATTCTATCAAATAGAATAGTTAACAGGTCAATCTGCATCATGAAATTTTTAACTACAAGGTACACCTCTAGAAAGCCAGACAAAGAACATTGCTTTAAAAAAAACATTTTATTAGACAGGAAAGTAGCTTTAGTAGGACAAAAATTATGGCAGGTACTGAAATTTTCGCTGCGACATTTAGTAAACAAGTACACTAAAATCTTAGGTTGTCGTAGAATGAATGGTAATCTCGATGCATGTAAGGCTTAAACAATTGAAGTTGGTCGAATTTGCTTTTTTCTATTTTACTAGGTCTTTCGTGTAACAGTGCAGGTGATTGATATAACTCAGGTTTTCTTCGTTGTGGTGAAAATTTTTAAACCAAGCTTTGCCTTGTTTACAAAGCAGTGCCCTAATATCTGTAACAGTTGGATCTCCTGTTTTTTTTGCTCGGCCGAATCGAAGCAAAGTTACTTGGTAAATCGTCACAATTTTTGAAGAAAGTGTGGTCGACGTTAGTCACTTCGTACGGCTGTGTTGGTCTTACTTGTCGGATCCGGTAGACATAGTCGCGTAGATAAAGGGGTATATAGTGGTGGTTGAAAAAGTTTTTCTAGAGTAGAGTGCACACTATCCACCTCCATCATTGTGTGCAAGGGGCACACAATGATGGAGGAGAAGGAGGATGGAGTCATTTTCCAAGATAATTTGGTGGATGACTATCGATTCTTTATTGGAAATGTCAGGCAATGCACTCACTCAGACTTTGTTTTTGATCTGGTATGCACAGCCATTTGATGTTAAACCAAATTTTTGGTATCCATTCGATTCTTTTAGTTTTTCCATAAAATCGAGAATGCTTGTTACAAACTTAGTTTATTATTGTTAATTTATATTGTAAAATATGTATTTGTCGTTTTTCTTTCTTTGAAAGGCTGGTATCTCATTTTCCTAGCAACAAAAGTAATAAACGGAATACATTTTCGTCAATGATTGCAGTGCATCGTCAACATATATCCTGGAACTGTTTGCGCAACAATAATGGCAAGGCACCATCTGGAGCACATCTAACCACTTCGTAACTGAATCAGATTTCAATGTTTTTCGTGTGATTTGGTTTGGATTATTACTTGGCAATGTCATTGATTCTGTTGTATGTTTAGTGGCATCTTCTGCTCTTATCCAATCTGTGAAAGATTTTTTTTTAATATCTAGTGTCGCTAGTAAAAATTCTCTGCAAAGTCTCAGTTTGATAGCGTCATGTCTCGGCAAATAACAATCAATGCCACTATTTCTTTTATGATCTGTTTCTATTAAATCTTCCGATGTCTTGCGTCGCTTGTTAATAGTTTCCTATTGAAATTTGGATATTGGCTATTGAGATTAAGCAATATTCAAATTTAAATAGGGTAGTTAGTTGGTATATACCTCCAGCTTGGGAACCCAGATAAAATTCTTACCCTTAGCTATTAGACATAGACCAACAGATACAATTAGTTCTTTTTGTTTGCATGATTTAACATAAGAAGGAGAAAGGAAGCCTCCTGAAAGAGTTTATTTTCGCCGGTTCTTTTCCGAAAGGTCTCCTAATTTTGGAACCGGAGGTAGTTTACGGTAGTTAGAATCAAATAAATAAACTCAAAATTATAAAAAGGAATTAACGAAAGTACTTTATTATTTAATTAACTAATATATTCATGCATAGACAATAAAGTTTTAAAAATCTACCAATAAAATATTCGAATGCTTAATAAAAGTCTTTCGAAGGTAGCTCGACAAAGTAAATAAAAAATCATTATTCTAAAGACGCATTCCTGCAAACGCTGCGAAACGTCAAGAAATAAATAAAATCAGCGCATCTAACGACGGAATAAAAAGTTTGAAGATAATAATTATATATAACAATATAGTATTTTAACGAAATGGGTACTTTGAGGTCGTGTTTAGGAAAATCACCAAAAACTCACTTTTTTACATTTATTTCCACGGTACTGTTTGTTGAAATAAGTATTTCCGTATGTTCTGCAATAATTTAAAATCCAATCCTTTACAACAAGTTAATAATGTGAAACTTGGTATAAATACTTGTTTAACAAACAAACAAGTTAAATAGTGTAGTTTCGTTTGCACGCCAAATAAAATTACCGCCATGTGCAACATAAAGGCGCAGGAATAGCGCATCGACTATGAGTGGAAAATACGCTATGTATACCACCGACACAAAGCGCATTTTGACGCCTATTTTTCTTTGACAAATACATAGCTGTTTATGTTACTTTTCTTGCAAACTGACTTTTGACAAAACGGGTTTTATAGCCCTATCGGGCGTCGCAAATTAAGCCAAAGTAGCCACAAAGCTCAATGTCGGAAAAAATACGTTTGTCGGATTTTCCAGGCACAGCGACGATATTAATCAAAACGAGTTAATATCATATCGCGGTACTCATTCTAGGGGGGCAGTTATCTTAACTATACAGTGTGAGCGATAATTTCCCTTATAGTTCCCGTCACGTAAAAAGGCCGGCGTTATACCTGCGCACTGCGCGATTTATAGGGTTCTCGCATAGAATCCACGTTTCTTTCGCTCCTAAAATACAGTGACTAACGATACTGTTTTCACGATGGTCTTGCATGGGAAGAAAAAAAAATTGGTGTATTCTGTATATAGTTTTATGAAGAAAGAAGCTGAAAGTTGCACCTCATCGACATCTGGCTCTCATGTGATCCAAGATGATTTTATGGCAGGCGTATCATCCTTAGTATAAGTTTTTTAAATCGCTGCCTCTGTTTTATGATTTAGTTTGAAATAAAAAAAGCTTTAGTAAATCAATATTTATAATTCTTCCCTGTAACATAACAAAAACCTATTGTTACTCTGCAAAAATTCTACCGACACTTATACTAAAAAAAACACTTTCGATCGCAACTGTTACCATGCGCAAACGCATCTTTATCCACTATCAGTCAGCGGCCTTTTTACGTGACGGGAACTATACTACCACTACTAGAGTACTAAAACAGCGTTCCCCACTCCAGGTGGTTGGACTCGTCCCTCTCCATAATGGAGCAGTTTATCCGCGAATGGGATATCCTCCAGCTCCGCTTCAAGTTCTACTCGTTCTATGAGCTGTCGGCCAGGCCTGCAGACGCTCCGCGCCTCAACCAGTTATACCAGCAGGCGCGCTGGCAGATCCTCAACCAGGAGGTTCATTGCACTGAGGAGGAGATGCTTCTGTTCGCCGCCCTCCAGGTATGATGACTTAAGCTTGGTAAAGAAGCGTTCCCCACTCTAGGTGAATGGACTCATCCCTCCATAATGGAGAAGGAAGACCAGCAGGCGCGATGGCACATCCTCAACCAGGAGGTTTATAGCACTGAGGAGGAGATGCTTCTGTTCGCCGCCCTTCAGGTGTGATGACTTAAGCTTGGTAAAGAAGCGTTCCCTACTCTAGGTGATTGGACACATCCCTCTCCATAATGGAGAAGAAAGACCAGCAGGCGCGTTGGCACATCCTCAACCAGGAGGTTTATTGCACTGAGGAGGAGATGCTTCTATTCGCCACCCTCCAGGTATGACGACTTAAGCTTAGTGAATAAGCGTTCCCACTCAGATGGTTGGACTCATCCCTCTCCATAATGGAGCAATACATCCGCGAGTCGGATATCCTCCAGCTCCAGTTCAACCAGTTATACCAGCAGGCGCGCTGGCAGATCTTCAACCAGGAGCTTCATTGCACCGAGGAGGAGATGCTATTATTCGCTGCCCTGCAGGTATGACGACTTAAGCATGATGAAGAAGCGTTCCCCACTCCAGCTGGTTGAACGCGTCCATTTCCATACTAGAACAATACATCCACGAGAGGGATATCCTCTGCTGGCAGATCCTCAATCGGGAAATCCATTGCACATGCTTCTGTTCGCCCCCCTCCAGGTATGTCGACTAAGCTTGGTGAAGAAACGTTACCCATTCCATGTGGTTGGACTGCTTCCTCTCCATAATGGAACGATACATCCGCGAGTTGGATATCCTCCAGCTCCGCTTCAAGTTCTATGAACAGTTATACCACCAGGCGCGGGCAGATCCTCAACCAGATTCATTGCACAGAGAAGATGATTCAGTTCACCGCTCTTCAGGTGACTGTATTCATTATCATCATCAGCCTATTCATGTCTCCGCTGCTGAGGAACATGTCTTCGCTATGGATGTGTGGCGGCGACATCCATATGCACCACATATAACTGATGGACCATAAAATCATTCGCCTCATCGAGAGATGGCGCTACTGGCGGGGATAGTATGGAGGCAGCAGACGGTTCCCACACACAATAGTTCTAAAACACCAGCCATATATTCTGGTCATGTTATTTATCCGGGACTGGGCGTGAAGATAAAGATAGATAGATGATATTTATCGATAAGCTTTACAATTTAGTCTCATCCCACAGCTTCAAATCGAACTCCAAACCCTGGCCGGGGGAAGTATGGAGGCGGCAGACGGTTCCCACAACAGTTCCAACACACCGGCTCCAGAAGACGAGATAGAAGCTGCTCTCAGCGAATTACAAGCACAGCTCGAAGGCGGTCCGCCTACGAGGCAAGATATCACGCACGTGCCGGAGTTGGCAGCATACCTCAAGTACCTTAGGTGAGTCCTGCTGTAAATATATCACCGTTATTTTGCGTATTGATGTGAAGTTCTCTTTAGATATGACTTGTCCATAAAATAGAAGCGGTATTTTGTGTGTTTTTTTTACAGTTAGCTAGACAAATTACTCTACAACACCTGATGTTAAGTGGTGATAAGAGTCCAGACGCGAAGATAGCTGGTACAGCAGTTATAAAGTGCCACGCCAACCACCTTGCCGTCCTGCAGAATTGGCGAGTGCCTCTAGACTTATTCCAGGCGGATGGCATCTCCCAACGGGGGGAGTCGGGAAGTCTCCTTTCCGTCTGGAGCCTCTAGACCATTCGAACCTGGGGGGGTCGGCTCTACTGGAGGACATCTCTGAGACTCGGACCTTGGCTCTAGTAAGCCGTTGTCGTGGGGGAAATGAAAGAGATTGACTATAGTCAACAAATAGCATCATGATTAGTCGTGTGAGGTGCTGGTATTACGCAAGATGTTTGCCACTACATGTAGTCTATCATTTTATTTATATACTAGCGGCCGCCCGCGACTTCGTACGCATGGAGTTAGTTATTTGCACATACTTTTTCACCCCAAAAGGGGGTTTATTAAAGATGCATTATTAGTACACCTCTACACCATCTATAGAGCATACATGTTAAATTTCAAGTCTTTTACTTCAAAAACATAGGACTTTCATACAAATTTCCAACTCCCGTATTACCCCCTTAGGGGTGGAGTTTCGTGATAACATGTAGCCTATATGTTGACCCGACTTCTTAATAATAATCGTGCAAAATTTGAAGTAAATCCATGCAGTACTTTTTAAATAAATTGAATTGATTTGAATTTGAGTTTATCCCGCACATACATACAGACAAACAGACAAAAATTCTAAAAACTATATTTTTGGCATCGGTATCGATTGTAGATCACACCCCAAGATTCTTTTAAAAAAATATTCAATGTACAGTTTTGACTTTCCTACCATTTTATTATATGTATTGTACCTACATTCATCGATAGTCATATTCATTATTTCTCTTTCATCTATGGGTGCGGCGCTCCATAGCAAGTGCCACAGCGATTACTGTGCCGTCGCGTAAGATATACAATTTTACCCCCACCACTGTAATTATAATGCTGTCCTTGTACAAACCATACTAACTGATCAATAATAGTTGCTTAAGTTCAAAGTTGTTTAAGTTTTTTTTGTGATAATATAATTCAAATCGGTCACCAGTAAACAGGAAGTAGTATTTTAAAATATAACTGAGAAAAGAGAGCAGAAGCGTGCTTGTAGCTGCTTGCTGTCTACCTTGCACTTATAGCTATTACAGCGATTACGTCACTGTCTCATTGTTGACGTTTGGCTATTCCACTAGATTTAAAGTGTAACATGTACAGACGATTTACAGAATTATTTTTATTTTAACTCTGAAGCAATTTTTTTTTGTTAATTTAAGAGTGCAGTCAACTTCATGTTGATTCATATATATTTATAAATACTTCTAAAAAGTTAATAAAATTTTGTATTTTAAGTATTTTTTTTTTATAAAAATTAAAAACATCCATAATTATTCTACATCACTATTTGTAGAAAAACGATTATGCTTAACTACTATTTATTTATTAATTTATTTGTTTATAACTATTAGTATTTTGTTGCCCTATAACACAATCTTTAACTTTGTTTTTATTTTACTTGCTTATTGAGTATGTTGATAACACTTCTTTTAATACTGTTTTGTAATTATATTACTGTATATAAAAAATCTATTAAAAGTTATAATAAACCATTTTTATTTATCTAGTTTATATTGTAAGTAGTTTTATTATATATATCGAACAAATTTATGGAAAAAATACGTTTTTCCGCACTAATTGAACAAAGTTAATAAAATAATATTTTTATATATTATTATAACTACATCATTCTTTGAGTGTTTAATTCACTCGATCAAGATATGAAATCTTTATTTTTCATAATTCATATCGCCATAATCAAAACCTTATAATGGTCTTAGCAGACATATCGCAACTCGGGTGCCTGCCTCGACCTCTATCATTATTTAAGTGTAAATTCACCAAACGATTTCCAATCTTAGTGCTTGGTTTCAAAGGTCAAAGTTGGTTGCAGAATTTTGGCAATTCATATTAGGTAGAGCTAGAGTACTCTGCCTTCTTGAATTATTCGTGCAAGTTCGGTTTTTATTTTTATTTTTTTTATTATCTTCTCAGGCCCAAACGGTTCACACTGAAAGCTTATAAGCGTGGCTGGGTGTCATGTCGCGATGGGGTCCTTCGTATACATTCGTCGCGCGAGGCTGCTGCCAAAGGGGAAGCCCCTTCCTATTCTGTGGAATTGAGAGGAGCAGAGGTGAGTGTTATTTGATACAGAAATATGGTACATTCAGACTCTAAACCCTTGAGAGATTTTTTTTTTTTTGTAATATTGGACATCGATTTTTTTATTTATAGTTTTATATTTATTTGACATTGTATAATATTGATTATAAAATGATCTTGGCAGGATACTTGTAAGCTTAAAATAACACTTTAATTTTTATTTAATTTATAAACTGTTGCATGCTGTCTAACAGTAATATATGTGAGACATGATAATAATCGAACACCTTTTATACCATATTTTTATGCAATAAATTATTATTGAAGTGAAATTTGAAGAGGAGCTCGATGGCGCAAGTAGTTAGCGCGTTCGGCCGCGATCGTTGAACTTAAGCAACTTTCACAGTGGTCGGTCATTGGATGGGTGACCAAAAATTACTATCTCGAGCTCCTCCGTGCTTCGGTAGGCACCTTAAGCCGTTGGTCCCGGCTGCATCTGCAGTCGTTAGCCCCCACCAACCCGCACTGCCCGCGTGGTGGGTCATGGACCAATCTCCCTATTCCATCCATAGGGAAGGCCTGTGCCCCAGCAGTGGAGACATTAATAGGCTGATGATGATGATGATGAAGTGAAACTTTTTTACGCTCGCTTGACTTGGGGGGTAAGCTGGCGAATGCGTTACGCGTTACGAAAAGTGTGTTCGTGGGAGGCGAACGGGCGTTAAGTGTGGGATATAAGCAAGAGAGTGTGCGCGCGCACTTTTTCTTTATCTCTTTCTCTTATTATTCTTAGTAAATGAAATATGTATATGTATATATTGTACACACATTATATTGCACACTCGTTTTATTTATTATTAAAAGTACCCTACTTTACTATTACCGTGTAAATATTGTAACACAAAGGTATATCTCTACCTTTCGCTTATTTGTCTATGGTCTGTCTTGATCTGGTTTTATCATAGAGGTATAGGAATAGAGTAGGGGAGATATAGACTCTACTACAAGTGGAAGTGTCCCTCTAATAGAAAGAGAAAGAAGATGAGAGACCGCTAGCTTTCTCTCTCTAATCGCGCATGCGCATTGGCAACCGTGAGCATCTTACTATTTCGATGTGATGCCATTGGATGCCATGCGTCACAAGACAGAGAGATCGCTAGAGGTCTATAATCTTCTTTCTCTTTCTACTAGACTTTTAGAGCCGTCTTCTCCACTCTATTCTTATACCTCTATGGGTTTTATTAGTTTTATATCCCGTCATCTTAAGCGGCTGTCATCAGACGTCAAATGGTCGGGTTTAATGCAGAGATATTCCTTTTGTTACATTGTCCTTCACTTGCCCTACTTTAAAATAGTGGGTCTAATGTAAACCTAATTCCTTTTACAAAGCTTTTGACGGCTAACATTGTTATAATTTTCGATTGTTCGGGGATTTTCGAAGCGTCTTGGGCAGTTAAATTAGGCATATTGAGCACTCTTGTATTTTTTTGACTTAATACGCAAATATTAAATACCTACATTATACTAAACAAACAATGCCCATTTTTGACCTGATCATGTATAGAGATGACATATACGTCAAAATAAAGCTAATTTAATTATAAGCTTATTACAATAATCAACGTGGTAAAAGAAACGCAGGAAAAAAAGATTTTTTATTATTTCAATATGTTTACTGTATGTTTAAGTTACAATTTCCGAACGCACTTCAACTATCTAGTGTTTGAATTTTAAGTTTTTTTTTAATAATTTCTAGTTAAAGCAACTGTTACTATTTAATTTAGGTAACACCAGACGCTCACCCGGCGTCCGGAAGATATAGCATCAAACTGGAAGTTCCGTCTGAAGATGCCATGCATGAGATGTGGCTGAAATGCGAAAATGTAAGTTTTAATTTCTAACACATTTATGGCTGTATATGACATTCTTTTTGCCATTTATAGGCAGAATGCCAATAATAATCTTACACTAGGTACCTAAAGATTTGATAACTTTCATGAATAATTTAAGGCCTATGTCTATGAATGCACAATTAGTTCAAGAGGTTATTTACATTTGAACAACTTTCATAGTAAATAATCTTAATAGAGCCAACAACAAAAAACAATTTTCCAATGTTTTTTTTTATTAAATCTAGCTTCCTATCTTAATTGTTGCTTCAGATGTGGTGAGTGTGTTTTGTCGTAGATCGAAGACGCGATAATGGGACACGAATCTTCGCGTGATAATGTGACGGTAACACATCTTCTATAATATAAAAATGAATCGCTGAATATGTTGCTAAGCGCAAATCTCGAGAACAGCTGAACCGATTTCTATAATTCTTTTTTTAGAATATTCCTTGACGTACGAGGATGGTTCTTACGCAGAGAAAAATAAAAAAAAATGCCTGAAAATGTCCAAAAGCAACACTTTTCTATACTCCCATACAAATGATTCATAATAATACAAGTGAATTTAAACTTTAATACCATACCATAAATTTCGAATGTTAGTGGAGAGATTCTGGGACGGCAAAACAATTGAGCGACGTGATGTAAAGTTTGGTAAAGGCAAATAATATACCATTTTCAGTTTTTTTTTATAATAACATGAAGAGTTATTTAAATTACTGCTCTACACCGAAGCGAAGCGAGGGCGAGCCACTAGTTATCGTATAAAAGCAAGTAGACTCCCAATCGCCTTATAAGATGGCAGTAAAAAACGTCCGAGCGGCTTACTTACATCAACTTATAAATATGAATTTATTTTCTTTTATATAGGCTCGTTATTTCGTGGCAGCAAAGTTCAGTGTCAATTTTATACGAGAGAGAATAAAAGCGTTTGTTTACGGTGCGAAAGGGAGATGCACGAACACGTGACGCACGGGCGATATTAAATACCCGAGATACACTACGTGCGCTCAAAATGTGTCCCAATTAAGAAGTGCTTGACACCACTCAAGCACTTCTTGGTTCACAGTGACGCGCGAACCGTTGAAAAGTCAAGTTGGCGCAAAGCTACGTGAAAAAATGCGAAAAAAATCAATTTTTGTTAATTTAACGCATTTTAAGCAAATTTTGTTTTAATACTTGCTATAAACTCATTTAATAAAAAATATTTGAGACATTCAAATGCATGGTCGGTAATATAGCCGTCTCTTTTCCTCGCGGTCCATAACTGCTATTTTGCTTACAGCGCATTCAGAATGCGCGTAGAGTCAAAGACATAAAGGTCTATATATTGTTTTAAACTTTCATGGTCACTAACATTATAGTAATATAAGTTATTTACGGGATTGTTACCATGTACCTTGTTTTTAGCGAGTTTCCGATATTTCGGCACTGTTGCAAGCGCCATGATCACGGAGTAACTGAAGTAATTGCGGGTAGGCTGTTATTGGCAGACATATCGGTCTACCCTCCGACGAAGTCTTTTATTGCGACCCGTACCACTGTTCACATTCTCACTATTCACTCGAAACTGTTCTCGACACACAACACTTACAGTATCGGATCGCGACACGACACTTTTTTGATTATTTCCGGTTTTACACATACGAACCACAGGATTCCAGACACTTGACAATTTAAACCCATCCTCACGATTGAAATTTTTATGTTTTGTTATTTCAATCGCTTCCCTGACCAATCTTGGTATGTAGTGGCGTTCTGTCGAGATAATCTGTGGGTTATGAAACTCAATCCAGTGGTTAGAACCAGAATCAATCAAATGTTCCGCGATGGCTGATTTCTGCGTATCGTTGTTCTTGATTGCTTTTATGTGTTCCCTCATTCGGCATGATACTGTTCGCTTTGTTTGGCCAATGTACGAACTGCCACAGCTGCAATCGATCTTATAGACACCAGGTTTCTCCAAGGGGAAGTTGTCTTTAGGAGACCGTAGGTATTGTGAAACCTTTCGCACAGGAGTGAAGACAGTGTTTAGTGAGTACTTATTCAGTATGTTTGAGATCTTGTCAGTCACTCCTTTGACGTATGGTAATAAACAGGTTGTCTGTCTACTCTGTGTCTCTGGTGTCTTAGTTTGTGTCTTGATGGAAAATGTCCCTGGTATCCATTACTCTGTAAGACTCGTCGTACATGTAAGTGTTGTGTGTCGAGAACAGTTTCGAGTGAATAGTGAGAATGTGAACAGTGGTACGGGTCGCAATAAAAGACTTCGTCGGAGGGTAGACCGATATGTCTGCCAATAACAGCCTACCCGCAATTACTTCAGTTACTCCGTGATCATGGCGCTTGCAACAGTGCCGAAATATCGGAAACTCGCTAAAAACAAGGTACATGGTAACAATCCCGTAAATAACTTATATTACTATAAAGGTCTATATTTTTCCACATATAGCAATAAGTCACAAAATTTTGCGAGCTTGCATTTCGAGCTGTCATAACTCATTGACGCATCAAGCTCCGTGGATCGTTCAATGTACTTTTTGGACAGGTTTCGGGCATGATTTAGTTTGTTTTGGTGTATCTAGTGTATTTAAATATCGTTGTTTGTTGTATCCATTAAAATATAAATAATTAGCAACACCATATAAAAACGCCAAGATAATTGCTTAATTTTGTTAGTTTAAAGGGACATCTGAAATACGACACACCATGTTGTAAGGGTGGATCTGTTCTTAATATTTATGAATTTAAAACATGTCGTGCTGTTACTACAGCGCTACTCTCGTACCCCCTTATTAATAAACAATGAATAGGCTTAGACTAGTTACGCCATGTTTTGTTCATGCCACTCAAATGCCATTTGTCATTCAATAGACAGACAAAATATGGAGTAACTAATCCATGCGTAATCTTCGTTTATTAATAAGGGGGGTAGCGTTCTGGGTCGCTCATTGGCCGACCCGTCTTTCGCGTCAGAAACTGGCGCCGCAGCATTAGTGCTTAATATTGTAAGATCAAATCGTACATTTTACTAACAGAGCATTTTTAACCGCTAGGAATTATGTAGGTCAATATTTTTTGTTTAAATATGTTTCGTAGTCACGTGCAAGATTAGTTCGCGTTTGTCCCAAACAAACTGTGTGCGCACTTTCAAGTTTTATAAAAAATATTTTCAAGAAATATAAATAAACCCACGAAAAAGATAATAGTTTTCTTATCTCTTGTCACGTGACCCAAAACGCTTGGTATTGGCGGAGCCTAAAATGACCTCACACGCTAGTAAACTTCCGGTTAAAGTGACATTACATTGTATCGTTTGACGTTTTAATAACAGTCGTGTGACGTCACATACCAGTGAGACGGCATATAGTCCAAAGAAACGATTTCGCGGCAACTTGAAAATGGAGTTTTTGATTTAGTTGAACAGTACCCCTAGTATGAGTTTTAATCGTTTTCGAATTCGATTAATCGTATCGTCTCGTTTCCATACATTGACTAGCAGCGCCCCTAGCGTATACTATCAAAAACTAAAATCAGCAGTATGAGTTTCATCGAGTCATCGTAACACGAAAACTCCCAAAGTTTTCGTATGACGTTTGCATTTTGGCAGTACAAGTTACAACTTTGACAGTGCGTCATGAGTATACTACGACGTTTGATCGTTTCGTCACTCGATTAGAAACTTTCAGTGACTAAGTATTTCGGGCCAAGTTTTTATGCAATCTAATAATGTTTTCGGTAGAATATTTAGCTGTCATGCTCGCTGAAGACATTGACGAAGACCAGCGTGCACAGGAGCGACGGGAATTATTACAGCGGAGGCGATTAACTTCTTTTATCACCGACAGGCATTTTGTGCAATGTATATATAATGTTCAAATGGCTGATTCCATTTGTAGTAGGTTTTATTTCTTTTTTTACTAAGATAAGGTGAGGTTTCAAATGTCACACATCATACGCGACTACTGTAAGGCTAGTTTGTTTTTTTAATTTTATTTCTTTACGGCCTTGAAGTCAACCATACAGCCAAGTTTCTTCTTCTAGCCACAGATCTAATGTAAGTTCTATACTCTTTGGACACAGATTAATCAGATTAACTCTAGAGTTTTACATAGATTAGCTTTGTTTAAGGTTGAATTGGGAGGGTTTAGCGCGATTTCATCGAGTGCGGTTGGCGTCTTATTTTAATTATTCTTAAATTCGTTCATAGTGGATATTGTGAAACAAAATTGGTGTGATTTTATGTTACAACCGTCTGCGCAACTGAAGAATTAGTGGGTACTTTAAAATATGCGCTATTCCGGTCAAGTGGACGTGAGAATTTTAGTATATGTTGGCTACCTCACAGAAGCTTATTGAAAAAGCCAACTCGATACATTTCGTGCCAAACATTCCAACAAACATTAGAATAAGTCACACCGACGTCATTCTAATGTAAAAAAAATAAGATTAATATAACATAACTTTAGGCTGTATGAGTATTGTTCCCTTTGCCTTCCATAAAAAGGGAGATTTTTTTAAAAAAAACAGGTTAAATTGAACGAATGGCTCAGCTATCTCTTTTTTGGCAATAGAGAACGAAAGAGACAAAACTAAATAGTGTGAAGTTCGTTTAATCGAGTCATCGAGCATACGATATCGTGAAAACGAGGAGTGAAATTCTATACTCGTACTGCGACACAATTCGAAAACGTATAGTTTGATCGAATCGACGAAGACGATCGTTCGTTTCGTATTAAAAAAACTCATACTAAGGGTAGAGAATGATGAATATCCACTGTTTATGGAATCCATAAACATTAGCAAATAACGTGACATCGTTTTCTAAAACTTTTTAAGTACCCTATTTGTTCGCGCCCGCATAAGCCCCATATAAGAAAAAGGAATATACAAAATCGTAGCAAAAGCTTTCCACTTATGCACCGGGTGGCGCCATCTATTTAATTGGATGTGAGGCTTGCCTCGTACAAACGTCAAACAGCTGGATATTCCAAATTCAACACACCACGTGCTTCGAGGAGTCGCTATAGATGTCGCTCGTGTACTTACATTCAGCTGTTTTACCGGCCATGACGTTATGACTTGCAAAATATCATTCTTTTTAGTTTTTATTTGAAGAAGACTGCATTCCATGCCCAAACACTATTCAATGTACTGAGTTGACAAGGGCTCGTACAATATTTAAGAGTTTAACATGTCGTGCTGTTACGACAGGAGGATTCGTACGCGGTGTGGGTCGCATCGGCAGGGAGCGGCGTGCGCGTCTTACTGGCTCTGCATCATTAGTTCTTAATATTTATAAGACCTCGGCGTTTGTTGATATTTACTAGTACCGTGTAGGATCAGATGAGGTGTGAATAGTGTAACACAAGGAATATCTCTGCTTTTGCTTATTTGTCTATGGTCTGTCTTGATCTGGTTTTATTAGTTTTATTATATCCCGCCATCTTAAGCGGCTTTCATCAGAGGTAAAATGGTCGGGTATATTTATTTATTTTTTATTTATTTGACATACCATCGACAATTTCACAAATTTCAATAAAGATTTAAGATGCAGGAAGTACTCAACCGTGTGAATTGCCATTGCAGGCATGTACAACATTGACTTTATGTAGGTAGGTACTTATACTTTTAACAGAAAAAAATTACTGTTCGGTTTGAACGTTACCATACAGATGATTTTTGAGGGCTTTGAGTGGAGCATGAAAGATGTCAACATCATGGCATATCTCGTTGTATGTATCTTTAATTCTGTTAAACGGTGAAGCTAATTTTGTTTTAAAGGGACAGTTAACGAATGATTTGATGGGTTGGCGGGGGATTTTTCTGGGAACCTTTAACTTAATTTCCGCAAGAAGGTCTTGCGCAACAATATTGCCGTGAAGTAATTTGTGCAGAAATAAAATATCCGCGGTTTTTCTACGCTTTTCTAAGGTATGAAGTTTAAAGTATTTGAGACGAGTGTGGTAATCCGCACGGTAAGGACACTTCCTGTCTTTGAAAGCAAGAAATCTCGTAAAATTACGTTGAATTCGCTCGATTCTATCAATGTGGACTCGATATTGCGGATTCCAGACTTGGGAACTGTATTCTAGTATACTTTGCACCAAACTCTTATACAAGCATAAAATTGTTGCGGTGTTATAGAAATTCTTACATAGGCGTTTCAAGAAACCCAACATTTTTAATGCCTTTGCAACAATAACGTTAATATGTTCAATGAATCCGAGCTTTTTGTCAATTACAATGCCCAGATCACGAGTCGAACCCACTTCGGTTAGCTGTGCAGAATTAATAGTATAGACAGAAGCGTTAATGTTTTTTGTCTTTCTGGTAAATTTTATAAATAGACATTTACTTGCGTTAAGAGTCATACCGTTGTCTACGCACCATTCCGATACCGAGTCTAGATCTTTTTGGAGTAAAAGTATATCTTCCTCGTTTTTAATCGGTCGATACAACTTTAAATCGTCGGCAAAAAGAGAGCAGCTGCTATAACGGATTTTATTAGGGATATCGTTAATGAAAACGAGAAACAGAATTGGTCCCAAGATCGAACCCTGGGGGACTCCCGGCGAGGTGATGAATGGTTTCGATTTGTAGCCGTTCACAACTACCCTTAACAACCGATGGTCTAAGTAAGAACGGAGCCATAGCAGTAGGGGTCCATGAATTCCGTAACGCTTCAGTTTCATAAACAGTATATTGTGGTCAACCTTGTCAAACGCACTGCTAAAATCTGTATAAATGGAATCTATTTCTACGCCAGAGTCGATTGATTTCGTTAGTTCATTGACATACGAAACAAGATTGGTTGCTGCTGATTTATTTTTACAGAATCCGTGCTGGTTTGCATGAATGATGTTTTTAAAATGGGAAGTTAAAAACGGGCAGATAATTTTTTCAAACAACTTTGATATTGCATTCAGAATAGATATTGGGCGGTAGTTTTTAACGTTATTATTATAACCTTTTTTGAAGACTGGAATGATATTAGCCTCCTTAAGCAAATCCGGAAAAACACCCGTAGCAATGGATTTAGCTAATATGATTTTAAGTGGCAGGGCAATGTATTTAGCGGTTCTTTTAAGAAATAGTGGCGGAATACCGTCAGGACCTGCTCCTTTACTCTCGTCAATTTTGGATAAGATCTTAGTGATCATGCGTTCGGATATAGCAACATTACCGAGAGATAGCTGGGGATAGTCACTATCATTAACTAAATCACTGGGTATGGAATCTAGTTTCTGGGTATAGACCGAGGAGAAGTGTGTTGCGAAAAGATCACATATTTCGTTACCGGTAGAAGCTGAAGCCGTGTTTTGATGCATTTTACCAGGAATGTTACAATTACCACCGCGGAGATCCTTGACGTACGACCAAAGTTTTTTAGGATTTTGCCTAATCGAGTCCTCCACCCCATCTAGATATGCAGCATAACATTTTTTTATCATTTGGTCCACTCGCTTATTGGCAAGCTTAAGTTCAAATGAGTCTCGCTGGTTGTTATATTTTTTGAAACGGCACCTAATATTATCACGTTCACATATTAAGTTAGTTAAAGCGCGAGTGAACCATTTAGGATATTTTCTACGGTGGATAATAAGTTTGGGGATATTAGAATGAATGATGTTATTGAGGATGGAATAAAATTTACGCATCATGACGTTGACATCCTTGCCCCCCAGCTCAGACTCCCAGTTCACATTATACAATTTTTCATTTATAACTGGATAATTAGCTCTTTTGAAATTAAGAATAGGACTTAATTTACGTACAAGACTCGTCACAACCTTTACATCAATATCCGCTAAGAGAGCAGGGTGATGAGCATCAATTTTGCTTAAAATGTCTGAGGATTCGGTAATAACAATATTTTTGAAGTTAGCAAGAACTAAGTCTAGGATTCTGTTGTTCGCATTTTTTACAAAGTTAAATTGTTCTATACTGCTGTAAGACATAAAATCGACCAGGGCATAACCAAGCGGACTATTGTAGTTTGACGGAGTCAACCCACCAGCAGTCTCATCTGGAGACTAATCAATAAAACCTAGGTTAAAATCACCGAAAATCATAGTCCTGCTCGAGTTTGTATTAACTACAGAGTTGATGTTATCCAGTACTGAAGCGAGTACGCCAAGTGATACAGGTGATACAGGCACGTAGACACCGCAAATTAAAAAGTCTTCTACCGTATTATTGATTTTGACTCTAATAGATACCCATAGGTCTTCGTTTCTACTTTCGTAGTGCTGAATGCGGGCTGACTGGATATGTTTCGATACAGCAATTAGTACCCCACCACCTCTTTTGATATAATACAGAGATATTACTTTTGTTACATTGTCCCCCACTTGCCCTGCCCCACTTTAAAAGTAGTGGGTCTAATATAAACCTAATTCCTTTACAATGTTTTTGACGGCCAACCTTGTTACAATTTTGGATTGTTCGTGGTATTTCGAAGCTTCTTGGCCAGTTATATTAGATATATTGAGCCCTCTCATATTTTTTTAATTAATACGCAATTATTAAATAATTACATTATTCTAAAATTATAATTGATTGACAGGAGGATTCGTACGCGGAGTGGGTAGCGGCCTGCCGTCTAGGCGCTCGGGGCCGCTCGTTGGCCGACCCGTCGTTCGCGTCCGAGGCGAGCGGAGTGCGCGCCCTGCTGGCCCTGCAGCGACCGCGCGCCGGCGCCGCGCCCCTCCCGCCCACCGCGCTGCCGCACCCCGACCACCTGCAGCCCGACAACTATATAGCGCCGCGCTACCTGCGCAAGCACCGCGGCAAGGTGATGATACTGGCTGACCCGCGCCCTGCTGGCCCTGCAGCGACCCCCCTCCCGCCCACCGCGCTGCCGCACCCCGACCACCTGCAGCCCGACAACTATATAGCGCCGCGCTACCTGCGCAAGCACCGCGGCAAGGTGATGATACTAGCTGACCCGTCATCAGGGCTCAACCTAGAAATTTTTCAGCTTCGGACGAAAATTTTTGCCGCCTTTTAGTGAGGCTGACCCTAAGTTAATTTTGCCGTTCTGGGCAAATGCCCGGCTCGCCTCCCTTAGATCGAGCCCTGCCCGTCATCACCTCAGAAGCCAATGGCATTACAGCGCCCCCCACCCCGACCACCTGCAGTCCGACAACTATATAGCGCCGCGGTACCTGCGCAAGCTCCGTAGGAAGATAATCATATCATCATCAACCTGTTAATATCCCCACTACTGGGGCACAGGCCTTCCTATGCCTATGAATGGAATAGGGAGGTTGGGCCCAGTGCGGATTGGCGGGTGCTAACGACTATAGGGACCAACAGCTTCACGTACCTTCTGAAGCACGGAGGTACTCGAGATAGAAGATTTTTGATCACCCATCCAATGACCGACCACTGCGAAAGTTGCTTAATTTCAACGATCTCAGCTGAACGAGTTACCACCTGCTTCATGGAAATCCTCCATATTTTCAATATCTAATCTTTATTTTCTCCCCCCAGTTCACGCAACGCCTGCTGGAAAGCCACGCGAACGTCAAAGACCTGCCTCTGCTGGAAGCCAAACTGCAATACATCAAGACCTGGCAGAATTTACCCGACTACGGACAGTCTTTGTTCGTGGTGCGATTCATGGGACATAAGAAAGACGAAATAATTAGCATCGCGAACAACCGCATCATGAGATTAGACCCCAGCACCGGAGACCATATCAAGACCTGGCGCTTCAGCACTATGAAGGTGAATATAAATCTTAGTAATAATATTGTAAGTTGTATGTGTAAGTTTTACACAATCATGCAAAAATGCCAACATATTGTAAAGTATGTTCGTCCAAATGGCCAATATAGCACATTAATATTATAAATGTGAAAGTTTCTAACAGAAAACCTTTAAAAATTAAGTGTCTGATCTTTTCACTCTATATTCTATATATATTTGAATTATTTTTTAGCAACTTTGCCCTATCGCCATACCATTTGCTTCCAACACTCACACTGGTTGACTGGTAGAGAATGCCTATGACATTAAGTCCGCCGTTTGCTTATGTTTGGCAATAAAGTTTAAATAAATAAATATCCAGCTATTTACATATATTAATGGAACGGCTGATGTCTACAGCTACGTTCTGTTGAAAGTAAAATTAAATTAATCTATTTCAGGCATGGAACGTTAACTGGGAAATAAAACACATGATGGTGCAATTTGAAGAGGGCAGCATCATATTCTCTGTCCAGTCTGCGGACTGCAAGGTGGTGCACGAGTTCATCGGAGGCTATATATTCCTCTCGATGCGATCGAAGGATGCCAACCAACAGTTGGACGAAGAATCATTCCACAAACTCACCGGAGGATGGACGTAAAGAGATAGTGTTATCTTTTAGGAGGAGCAACATACGTGAAAATGTGAGAGTTAATAGAATCACAATTTATGTTGATTCTAGTTTTTTTTTATTTAAAGTATTTTTTTTCTATTGTTTGACTATTCAAATTTCTTATGAAATTTATGAAATGCTAATGAATTATGTTACATATTTTTTTTTTATTAAATAAATTATTATGAGAACTTGTTGTTACAATCACATGCAGTGTTGTTTATTAAAATGAAGTTTTGGTGTAGAATTAAGAGAATTACTTGATCTGTTCAACTCGATACTGTGAAGTGGTTTTTAATAATAATTTAAGAAATTACATATATTATGGATAATAGAGATATGAACAGGACTTATGTGATGTGCCTTTACATAAGATTTTGATAAACTTGCTTTTACCTACTACATATTTTGGTGATAGGTACAGAGATTTTGTATATTCTAGTATGCCGTCATATTTCTTAAGTAGGTAGTGCTTCCATTTATATTTAGCAAACATATGCCAAATAATATTTTTGACGCAGTAACAATGCTTCCCTATTATACACATCATTTAATTCAGAATTAGCAAATTTATTTGCCTGATGAGTTGTTATGAAGCTTTTTATAAATATATCAAATAAGTTTATAAGTTATTCTATAATGTTTAATTATAATTTCACGTTTTATAATCTGCAATCATCAATTAAGTGCCATTATGTAATTATATGAATGCACAAGATGGTGCTTAAAACGGTATAATGACTGGAGTGGCCTTAAATTTTTATATGTATTATTATCCGATTTTAACATTCAGTATGTAAATAATATTAAATTTGCTATGCATGCGTTAGCCGTAAGTACTTTAATGTTAACAAATGAATGACTATAGAATTTACCTGCAAAATAATATTTGTTGTTAACGTAAATTGAAAAATATAATTTTATTATTGTGGACGCCTAGTCTAACGAAGTCGCGCATATGATGCTGTCACATATATATATATTTATAGATCAACAGATGAGTATTAACTAAATTGCCTTATAATTTTAAGACTACTGTACAAAATGTATGTACACAATAATATTGTCTGTGTGTAAATGAACCTTAGAATAAATGTAAATGAATAACAAATTAATTAAACATGCATTTTTATTTTATCATGACGTTGACAACTTTCACTTACAATTATATCACTTTTGAACATTCGTAATGTTTCAGTCTCACAATTTTTGATTTAAAAAACAAAAAGGCATTAAATGCTAAAACGTAAAAACAAATTTTTATGCACTTTTTGGAATAATACAGTGACATTGAGCATCCAAATAGTCCATTGACTTTTGTATTTAATTTACATAGTGGAATTTGATTTTCCTTTTTTGCTAATTATTATTATGACTAGGTAGACACCATTACAGAAAAAAAGCCTTTTATGACAGATCCGTATAAGGAGTCAAATAACGTTTGTGGTACTGAGGTTGCTCTGGGTATACTGGTGGTATGGTCATGACCAGAGTACAGCAGCCGGCCACATCATTCACTTTCATGGCCGTGTTGGATTCCGACCATAAGACTCTAGGAAGATCATCTGCATTGACCCCTGTATACTCCTCCACAGCTAAAATGTCCGCTTGCCCGCACATGGTTCTTGTAAACACTATGAGACGTGAGCCTGGAAAAATATTTGGAAATTAACTGTTGGATACAAAAGAAGAAAACAAGCTAGGTTGCAAAATAAAAAGTATTGGTAGTTTTTGATTTATCGGTACAGTCCACAGACTTTGCAAGACGAAGACCAGAAGAATATGAAGTTTACTATGAACAAAATAAGGTTGAACTTCATGAGCTTTAAACACATGCACAAGTTAAATATCTAAAACAATAACATGTTTAATTTGGCTCATGTGTCATTTTTAAATCAATTAAGAATTTATATAAAAAATGAAATCAGAGTTTACAAAATGACAAAAATATTGTTAATAATAAATAAATTTTGCCATGTAGGTATATTACCTAAATGACAAATTGCAGCAGGTGGATTAGTAAAATAAGTTATCAGTTCCAATTTAGTGTCAATATCTGGCCTAAATCGGTGCATGTGGCTGAAATAATTCTGAGTGCAGTAAATGTAATTCCGGAATGACACCATACAACTTGTCCGGAACTCTGTACCAATCACCATACTCCATCTGTCAGACTGCTCGACCTCCTCATATCTGTATATATTTTTATGTCCTGCTGCATAGACAGAATCATTGTGTGAGCAAACAGCTGGATTCTGGATTGTGTCAGGTAATTTTGCAATTTTTCTATAGGTTCTTTGTTTCAAATCATACACAACTGCCGTATCTAGGACTACCCTGTGAAATGAATTTATTTTAATTAGTTTTGCTTTGACACTATTTAATTATAAAGTTCAGCAATCAGGTAATGAAATATTGCTATTATTATGAAACACTCTTACTGATTTAAGACCAGTTTCAAATACAATTTTAGATAATCATTTGTTAAAAATGAACAGAGACACAAAAAGACCCAACTAGGGCTTCGGTTTTCATATTTAAAGCTAGAAAGCTGACTGACCTAAACCCACCTACACCGCCAACCATATACAATGCATCACCAATTATAGTCACACCACCATGTCTTCTTGATGGCAATTCCACTCCATGATGAGTCCATTCCTTCCTCAATGTATCATAAACTTTGACATCCTTCATGAACAACCCTGTACCTTTTCCATGTTCACCGCACACAACGACAAGTCTAGTTGGTCCCCACTCTACAATACTCCAACCCCATAAATTTTTTTCAGCTATTTCTATCCACTTTTCAAAACCCTTTTCTTCTGTAAAAGTATACATATAGTGTGGTATTACTTCAGGCTTAGTATCCTGAAAGAAAAACAAGTGGTTCTCACTATCTTTCTGCATTTATGAATTACTAGTTGGCTTGACACAATATCACCATGCTGCAAGAACTACATAACTTATCAGAGTGTAGAATATCAACATCAGTAAGTGTTTTAAACCTACCTTGATCATCCACACAGGTATTGATGGAATGTAAGCCAATTCTCTTCCTTTATTTTCTTTCACTAAATTGAACACCTCATTGAATACTCTCTCTGTGAACATATCACATAATATGGACTTTTGGTTTAATAGAACTGATGTTGTTAACTCATAATCTCCAAGTGACAGTTCATACAGAAAGTGTACTACTTTTGATGCAAGACTCTTTGCATGATCTGCAACTAAGATCTTCATCTCCCTCAATTCAGGTGTTGTAAGCCTTTTAATGTCTAAACAGCACAAAAGTAACATTAAAGCATCAGCTCCAGTCTCCGTTGTAGAAATCCATTGTAAACCAAACTTAAACACATCCAACTCATTTGGAGCATCTAAGTATGGATGTGATAAGTACCAATAGAGTTTCTTTATGGATGGCACATACTCTGGCCTCATAGTTTTAAAAGAAAGTAAACCAAAAGCAGCTGATAGCTGTTCTAATTTTGAATATGATGATGATTCAGCTATATCCATAGTCTGCATCCAGGTAGACACAGATAACTGAAGATCTAAGCAATATTCTATTTGTTTGATAAGTTCCGGTATCTGAAGAAAATTAGCAGCAACCGAGAGCTCAGCTATAGCAGTTAGTGTGTATTCAGATAAGTCTATGAGACCTATATTCATATACTGAAGAATTATCTTCATGGAATTTGCATCCACTACCTAAAAATCAAGAAACTTTTTTATTTAAAAAAATCTTCATTTTCTTTCTGTTGTTTGGTGGTGGCCCTTCTATGGATTTCACTAGATTGAAGTTTTTTGATTTGGTTACTAAACTTTATGTTGATTATAGAAATACAATATAGTTAAAGTTAAAATAAAAAAGTGAAGTTAAGGAGGTAGAATAAAAATTGTGGAGTTTCGTCGAAGTCTTATACTTCTTTTCAAAAACTTTTAACAGTTTACTTACATCAATTTTGATATCTTGCTTTTCATTTTCAACATAATTCCCGCTAAACATAGCGCGAAAATAATCGCTATGTTCACAAAGAACTTCTTTTTTGACTTTGAATATTTGTTCATCGATATGTAAAGAAACTTCTTCCATGATAGCTGAGAGGAGTTTATTCAATGGAGTGTATTTTATTTTGTAATTATTTTACTAAAAATAACTTTTTTAACTTATTACAAAACAAAATAAACAAATCAGCTTTGCGTGCGACCTTGCTCGTTCTGTGCACAGATCACTATAATACTCTATGATATTGTGCAGAGGTGGTTAATATAACGTCTAGCTCCATATTAGAGCGCGCTATTTGTCCATAGCACGTATCGCGTGCTACCTATTTAATAAAGCTACAAGACGCTAGTAGGGACACGAAAAAAGTATCGTTACTTTGTGGTATCGAGTACTTTTCCTTTCGATACCGATACTTTTGTACTCGATTCTTCGTATTCGATACTTTTACTAAATGAGTACTTTTTGGCAAGTATCGATACTTTTAAAAATTTGGATAAGCGCCTCATATTGATGGCAACGCCATCTTGTTAAATCATAGCAAACCTTCTAAAACGTTCCATAGGGTATTTGACATGTTTTAGGCAACGATCTCACGTTATTGAGTCCGTAAAAAGTGGATATTTATCATTCTGTCGTGTATTTCAGTAAAAATAACCAAATCAAAAACTCCATTTTCAAGTTGCCGCGAAAACGTTTCTCTGGACAATATGGCGTCTTACTAGTGTGTGACGTCACACGACTGTTATTAAAACGTCAAACGATACAATGTAATGTCACTTTGAACGGAAGTTTACTTGCGTGTTACGTCATTTTAGGCTCCGCCAATCCCAAGCGTTTTGGGTTACGTTACATAAGATAAGAAAACTAATATCTTTTTCGTTATCTTGGCACTTTATTTTTAATACTGTCAAATGCCCTATTGCGTTGTAAAGTCAGTAACTGACATATTCAAATTCTTTCCAATCTGTGACTGTGTTTATTTTGCGCTTTGTTACGTTTCATAGTTATTTATTTAGCAACCATATTGTTAGGAACTGTGATTGATTCACCGTTTATTGTGCTTTTCGCTTGACTGTATTTGATTTATTCAAGTGTAACACTATTATTCTGTCTGTGCTGTGTATACCTATTTGAAACCACCTGAAAAAAAGACGGACGTAACCTCTTCTATAATTATAATCTTGAGTGAAGCATGCCAATGGCAGCCGATAATTACGTGTCAGATTCAAGTTAACATAAGTGGGTATAATGTATTTTAATGATTAAAATTCAAGAAAAGTAAGTTTAATTTGAACAAATCTGAAAAGATTCATACTTTTAAATAGTTTAAGATTTCGATCTTTTGAATGGATATACTTCAGCCTTTCAATTGAACATCCCACCTACAACCAAAAGTTTATTCAGGGGGTGTTAGGTTATTTTGATTACGGAATTTCTTGATTCGGTCGCCGCTCTCAAAGCCCGCGGTAAAAGCTATGCAATAGCTTAGAAGTTATAGTCGTCCTACTAGAAAAGGCTTAAAGGTCTCTGTTCTATATCTCTCACTCATCCCGTTTCATCGGTACAATAGGCTAGTTTACTCATGTCGAATTGTATTAAATAAATGATTATTTCTTAAAGTATTTAGTCTAAGGAACCTTAATATATCGATTTCACTTCATAAAAGCAGAAGATTGCTGTAGAAATTTAATTTTAAAAAATATTTTTTAGTCTATATTTTTTAAACACTAAAAACGCTGTTCGCCACATCCGCCATGATTTTGACGTCTCTTGTGGTAAACAACTAAATGTCATTCGCGTGTTACTGTAGGTGGATTCTTTCGTCTGACTAAATTTATCTTAAAAACACTTTTAACTTTAGGAAACTAATTATGCATGCCGGCTTTGTGAAAGCAGAAAGCACAAATCTGCCAAGAATTGACGCATTGATGGTTGGTGAATTTGTTGCATTAAACCCCGATTTCTGCTCTGCGGAGCAGAGAAACGACAAGGCATCTATGTAAGTACAGTGCATTTAGTATTACAATGTAGTAATAAACATAAAACTGATACAACATATGAATAAGTGTAATAAAGTTGCGTAGGTTAATTTCTTTCGGCACTTTAATCCACAACTTTCCTGGAGTCTTCAAGGATGTGTTTTTATATTCTCGTACAATACAGTAATGATAATTACTTTATTTTTCGTGGTATTTATTAGAAATCATGTTTTTTTTTATTATAAACTCAGTTAAAAGTAATTTTCTACGTGTTTACGAGTTTTTGTTTACCACAGTTCACGTCATAGCATAGATAATCTATAGACTAAAATGGCCGACAGCGTTTTTGTATGTCCATGAAAAGTCTATTTTAAAATTAAAGATATGTAGCTTTCTAGGTTTAAAAAAAATGCAATACATTTTTTTTCGGTATAATAGAACATTTATTAACCATTTAAAACCTTTTTCCAAAAAGGGTCAACTAGCCTATTACTCAATTTTAGTTACCTATATGTTATGTTTACGACTCTGAAGCTCATTTTTTAAGTTTTTCAAAACTATTCAATTTTGATGATATTCCGTCCATTTTTTGAGACTACAAAACTTCTCCATCTCACTGCTACAATCGGTAAAAATTTGATTGTTTATTTCTCGCGCTTGTTTTCAAAATCTGAATCTGAGTGCACTCTGGCCGCACCCGTACCCTAAAAAGGAAAGACTGATATTAAATTTAGTTTTAAATTTAGAGAATCATGCCAGAATCAACATCATTTTGATGTCAAGTTACTAACATCGTTTTATTTATCAACTAAAGAACAATAGACTATTTCAATTACTTTAAGTGTCATTATTAAATGCGCATCTCGATTTTGTTTGATAAGTTAGTTGATAACGTAGTATCCAAGTGATCTGTGGTTGACATGACATCTCGTTTACCGGTTTTTTTCTGTGAATCTTTAAACTAGTGGCTACAAGTTTGTTTTTGATTAAATATTTAGATGATTTAAAATATCTTTGCTTTGTTGAATATTTGTGAACATTGGGTGAGTATTGGCATCGATGACAATAAATAATGGCGACTACAGCATCGGCTGCGACTGCTACAGCTGAAGAAGATTTGGATGAATGTGGACCACAGCTGATTAACAAATTAGAGGTATTAACAGATGCAGTTCATGCGTAAAATGCTTCAGTTGAGTTAAAATTTACTATATTATTAGATCAAACTGTCTTGATTCCCTTGTACTCAGTGATAAGTAGATAAACTACTTACTTTGGAATCAAAACAATGTATGAACTGTCAAAATACCATAGCTAAATACTCATTGATTTAAAACCATTGGTACATGTTTATGCGATATATAATACGGTATATGTTTGCTTCTTATTTCAGGGCAATGGAATCACATCTGGTGACATAAAAAAGTTGGAAGAAGCAGGGTATCACACTGTGGAATCTGTCGCATATGCACCTAAGAAATGGCTGATTACAATAAAAGGCATATCAGAAGCAAAGGCTGATAAAATATTGGCGGAAGCTTCAAAACTTGTTCCCATGGGATTCACTACAGCTACTGAATTCCACCAAAAAAGGTATCTATGTTTATTTAAGCATGAAGAATTAAAATTTTTAATTTATCTACTCTGTTTTAATTTGGCAAATTATAGTAGAAGTACTGTAAGGCAATAGTATAGAACACCGAATATCCAAATTAATTGGGACCAGGGTCGATTTGGATAATTGAAAATACAGATAATTGGACATAAACTGGTAATAAAGAAAAAGCTGTCACACATACAATTAATTTTAACAAACACAGTTCTACTATACTAGATACAATAATAGAGGTACATAGTAGCAAAAGAATAACAAAAATAAGAACAGTAAAACATGTTGTGTGTCTTGCCTCTTAATTAGATGGAATATGAGTAAAAATAAATATTAATTTATATCAAATTAGGCAAATAATCTTTAGTTACTTCTCATTAATTTAAAACAATATGAATCATCTTTCAAAATCAACAATGAGATCAATCAATAAAACCTTCTATTGGGGAGGTCAAACCCTGCGACCTCCCCTCGCGATGAAAGCGTTTGCTATCACGCGGGTTACCACTGTAACTAAGTGGGTGATGTTTACATTTTGTGACTAAAATGCCCGTACTTATATGGAAATGGCCGGCTTTTAGTCAGGACTTTTCAAATTTTAAATTAGTAACCCTACATGTCAGGAATTATATTATAATAAGCTAGGTTAATGAGCAATACCCAAACATCATATATCAACCTAAGTTCAGTACTTTCAAATCTCTTCCATCATTTAAAACTGTATAAACAAAATCTTAAATATGTACCCTTTAACTTACGAGAGTGCAAGCTCAAACTGAGAGAATAGCTTAAGACCTTAGATTATGATGAAACTGAAAGTCTTCTTATTCTCTCTTACTAGCAAATAGGATCATTTGTACACACATACTCATGTATACTCATCACACACACACACACACACAACACACACACACCAACACCTACCGCTATTATAAATTATAATATATTTTTATTGTAATCTGTATAAAAATCCAGTGAAATAAAATTAAGACCTTACCATAAGATATATTATTAATGCTATGGAAGAGTGCTTCCTTCTGGTACAGGTATTAAACACTTAATAGAAGGAACCCACCCTGGTTTCGTGTAAAACTAAATTTAGTATCATAATGAACTTAATATTTTTTTAAGTTGAGTCCTTTATTATTTTGAATGTGGTCCATAGTATACATCCTGTCGGCCATATCCAAGGAAGAACATCTTTTCATACAAAAACGTCGAGTTTATTTGTTTGTGTTTTGGCTCAAGAAGTTTACCCCTTTGGGGTTAATATAAACAATAAAAACTATGTTTTAACTAGTGAAAACTCATTTATGCAAGAAACCAGCTGCTTTGCTATCTGGGTAATGCATAACTAATTCTATTACAAGGCCTTAATGTATTAGTCTCACTGAAGAGAATAAGGCGTAGGAGCACTTGCAATCAGTTTATTTTTAGCAATTTTTTAAATTAAAAAAATGTTTATTTTGAGGAGATGACTGGAATTTACCCTGTAAAATTATATTATGCTGGCATTTCAGAAGGCTATTTGTAATTTTAACAGCAGGTTGTCCTTGTCATACTCTATAGGGAGTGACAAGGAGAGACTTGGTAAGTTTACAAATAGTCTTGGGAAGTGCGGCATAACACACTATTATTGAACTTTATTGAAGACTTTTGTTACAGAGCAGAAATCATTCAACTGACCACAGGCTCAAAGGAATTAGATAGATTGCTGGGTGGTGGTATTGAAACAGGGTCCATAACAGAAATATTTGGTGAATTTCGAACTGGAAAAACACAGCTGTGTCACACTTTGGCTGTTACATGTCAGGTACATGTGCAGCATGTCAAATTTTTTATTTCTTTTGTTTTCATGCACATCAACCATTAATCAAAACATTTTTTAAAAGGATATAAAGTGCAATTTATTTGTCATCATCATCCTATTAATGTCCCCACTTCTGGGGCACAGGCTTTACATATGGATGTGTGGCAGCATGTATTACTTTTATATTTATAAATATAAAACCACATACAAAATTCTAAAGAAAAATTTACTAGAAAAAATCCAACGCGTACAAAGCAGCAGACAGGACTCGAACCAGCACTCTTCGCTTTCTGGGCTGGCCCGTGTTTAATTTTTTCTAGTAAAATTTTCCTTAGATTTAAACATCTAGCAGTTAAAATCGCTTAAAAAATAAATAACATAACACATACAATATTATCTATATCAGTTTAACTTAACTAATACAAACTTATAAATAACTTACATCTTAATATTTACAAATTATGAATTTACTATACAAAGCGCATAGTATCAACGATAGCGATAAACTGACTACGACGCGGAGCGCTCGCCGCTTCTACGCACACATATTTATTTCGTTTGCTCGCGCGCCGACATTTAATACGAAATCGCTTTTTATATTATAACTCCTTCTGTATCTATCTGTGGAAGAATCTTTCCAACATCACTTACACCGGGAACTCCCACTATGGGGGTAAGATGGAATAGGGTGGGCCAAGACCCACCACGCGGGCCCAGTGCGGATTGGTGAGTGCTAACGACTGCCGATGCAGCCGACCAACGGCTTAACGTACGTGCATGGAGTGTTCAGATAGTTCATTTTTGGTTGCTTGAATTTGAAAGTTGCTATAATTCAACGATTGCAGCCGAACGCACTAACCTAGCAGCTAAATAGGGTATTTGACAAGTTTTAGAAAACGATCTCACGTTATAGACTTAATGTTTATGGAGTCCGTAAAAAGTGGATATTCATCATTCTGTTGTATATTTCAGTAAAAATAACCAAATCAAAAACTCCATTTTCAAGTTGCTGCAAAAACGTTTCTCTGGACAATACGGCGTCTTACTAGTGTGTGACGTCACACGATTGTTATTAAAACGTTAAACGATACAATGTAATGTCACTTTAACCGGAAGTTTACTTGCGTGTGGCGTCATTTTAGGCTCCGCCAATCAAAAGCGTTTTGGGTCACGTGACAATAGATAAGAAAACTATGATCTTTTTCGTTAGTTTTTAGTAGAATTATGAATGTTTCTTTTTGTAAAAATAGTAAAAACCCCTACCAATATTCATTCTAATCACAGATGCTAACAATTGGCACTTTATTTTTAACACTGTCAAATACCCTATTAAGTAGCTAATAGGGATGATGACTAATTTTTTTTCTTCGTTTATCAGGTAGTTTATCAAAAAGTATTGGACAGGTATTTTTTCTTTTTTCACATAATATAAACATTGCAGAGATATATTGATTTGAAAAGTCGCATGATGTCACGTTTGAGTACACTTATACGCGAAAATTCACTCAAAAGTGACGTCACGAGTCCCTACTCCCAAACTTTGACGCGCTATAACTTTGTCATTTTTTGGTTGATTGCCCAAAGAAAAAATACGTGTCCATTATTTTTTGATCATCTAACTGACGGACTAAATAGAATTTCGTTTACTGTACCCCGTCATCACCCCTATTATAGCAGCTTAGTAATACATTGTCCATGTCATTGTCACCAGTTGCCAATAGAGCAGTCTGGTGGGGAAGGAAAGTGCATGTACATAGACACGGAAGGCACCTTCCGTCCAGAGAGACTGCTGGCCGTAGCGCAGAGATATGGAATGGAGGGGGCTGCGGTGTTGGACAACGTGGCGTATGCGAGAGCCTACAATACTGATCACCAGACACAACTGTTGGTGCAGGCCTGTGCGATGATGGCCGAGTCAAGGTTAGTTAACTTTTCAAATTTAATATCCTTACCATTAGTACGAGTTTGAGCTCACGAAAACTATCATAGATTTCGTAATTGTAAATTTGATTTCAATGTCCATTTTGATGAAAAGTAACCAAATATACTTAATATTTAAGAAGACGCAAATGATTTAATGATAGAATTTAAACACTATTTATTTGTATTGAAACGGTAACAGTAAAATAAGTACCCTTAGTACGAGTGCGAGCCTTCGAAAACTATTATAGTTTTCGTAATTAGGGCTATCGCGTATGAATCCGCCGCTAGAGGCACTAGTGTACCGTGAGGTCTCCGAAATGTCAAATGTTATTGCTTGTTGGTTGACTACGCGGGTTTATTTCTAATTAAAATAATGTTGTGAATAATTGGTAACAATTCGGCTTAATTATGGCAAATATGAGGTATGTGGCAATGAATGTCAGTTATTAAAAATTTGAGCTTAGAAAAATGATTATGTTCCCTTTTTTTCCGAATAAAACGGAATTGCGCGTCACTGTGGCATGGCCTATTATGTTTAAGATATGGTTCTTTTGTGTTAAAGTACGATCTGAATGTAACCTTTGATTTCATGTGCGTATTAATAAACTTTAAAAGTTACGATTTAGGACCTCATTCAACAGTGGCGCCATCTGGTGAGGCAGAAAACGGTAGCCCTCATTGTAATACTAACTAAGGGTACCTGTCACACTAGTATTATAAAGGCGCAAATTTGTGAGTGTGTATGTTTGTTACTTCTTCACGTCTAAACGGCTGGAGCAATTTTAATAAAATTTGGTATGGAGTTAGCTGACACCCTGGATTAACACACGTAGGCTACGTTTTACAGCGGGAATATATCCCTAATAAACTGCGGGTAACACCGCCGCGCACAGCTAGTTAATATTATAAATGTGAATGTTTGTATGTTTGTTATTCAATCACGTAAAAGCTGCTGAATGGTTTTGGAGGAAATTTGGTGCGCATACGGCTTATGATATGGATTGAGATGTGGGATACTTTTTATCCCATAAAAATATTTGGTTATATGGTTGAGCGAAGTGACGGCTAGTTCATGCGTCATGCTCGTGAACAGGTGCTGTCAGAGGAGATGAATCTGCTCTTTACTACTTTATCATCGAAATATTATCCAGTTATACCTGATATAAATAAACAATAAGTTTTTTGTATGTAAACTGTATGACACAGTAATCAAAATGCCAGTCGACGATATTGAAGTTGTATAAATGTATCTTATTTATTGACGACTTCCATGGCCGAGTGGTTTGTACGCCGGGTTTCATGGTGTCGCCGACTCGAGAGGTCCCGGGTTGGAATCCCGGTGGGGCAGATGTTTGTGTGATGAACACGAGCATTTGTACTCCAGACATGGATGTTTAATATGTATTTCTATATAAATATATGTACAGTATATGTATTCTATCTGTTACCCTAGCATCCCATAACACAAGCCTTACAGTGTTTACTTTGGGGCTAGGCTAATTGGTTTGAGTGTTAGAAATATTTGTTATTTATTTATTATTGATTTTGTATTGACAATATATCATCATCATCACCAGCCTATTAATATCCCCACTGCTGGGGCACAGGCCTTCCTTATGGATGGAATAGGGAGATCGGCCAATGACCCACCACGCGGCCCCAGTGCGGATTGGCGGGTGCTAACGACTGTGATGCAGCTGCGACCAACGGCTTAACGTGCCTTCCATGCCTTCCGAAGCACGGTGGAGCTCGAGGTAGTAAATTTTTGGTCACCCATCCAATGACCGACCACTGCGAAAGTTGCTTAACTGCAAGGATCGCAGCCGAACGCGCCAACCACTTGCGCCATCGAGCTCCTCGTGACAATATATATTTCATAAATATTGTTACGTAATTTAACGCCGTGAAGTTTTTTTCGCCTGTTTTTCTTGAAACAAAAAAAATTTGGATGACTTAAAATAGTTGTATTATGCTTCCTTTTTGAATAAATATTTTTTTTACATTAATTGCTCCCGTGGGATTCTCAAAACAAACGAAGTTATAATCTATACTAATATTATAAAGCTGCAGAGTTTGTTTGTTTGAACGCGCTAATCTCTGGAACTACTGGTCCGATTTGAATGATTCTTTCAGTGTTGGGTAGTCCATTTATCTAGAAAGGCTATATTTTTTTTTTCAAAATAAGGGATCCGTAATGAAATTGCTATTTTGTAACACAAGGTGTAAAATCGAATACCTATTTTTGCGTGCGCTGCAAAAACTATTGACATTAGAACAAAGTGATGTACTACGGGTTTGTAGATCCCATTAAGACCTACAAAAAAAGTCCGCGAGAACATATATCTAGCTATGGTTGGTTTAATCACAATAACCGATTTTGTGTTCAAAATAATTATTAAATCGTCTGAAGAAAAAAAAAACTACGTTAAATATGTATCGTAATATTAAAAACACAAACAACCCTTAATTTTCACCCCGCTACCCCTACCACCCATATTTTTATGGCGATGAGAAGTTCGCTGGGTCAGCTAGTATACTATAATATTGCCAACACGCACACCAATTAGCATAGCCCCAATGTAAGCACTGTATGCTTGTGTTATGGGATACTAGGGTAATGGATAGAATATATATATATAGTTATAATTTTTATTATTTTTAAAGCATGTAACTGCTTGATGTTTAAATCTAAAGAAAATATAACTAGAAAAAATTCCACGCGGACCAGGCAGCAGACGGGACTCGAACCCGCACCCTTCGCAATCCGGGCGAATGCACTGACCAATTATGCTACCGCGGCCCTCACGGACCGCGTCGAAATTCTTTCTAGCTATTCTTAAGCTGCAAGGCAGCGCCATCTCTTCGCATTATAGGTAAACCCACAATGTCAAATGAATACTTTTACAAGTATTAAACATTTGAAAGAAGAAATAGCAATTATAGTTATAATTTTTATTATTTTTAAAGCATTTAACTGCTTGATGTTTAAATCTAAAGATCAGTGGTCAGTGCATTCGCCCGGATTGCGAAGGGTGCGGGTTCGAGTCCCGTCTGCTGCCTGGTCCGCGTGGAATTTTTTCTAGTTATATTTTCTTTATATATATAGTATATTTATGTAAAAATACATATTAAACATCCATGACTGAAGTACATATACTCGTATTCATCACACAAACATCTGCCCCCGCCGGGATTCGAACCCTCTCGTGTTGTCGACATCATTAAATCCGGCGTACATACCACCCGGCCACGGAGGTCGCCTAAACGTTAACCTTTAGTTTACCAGTATAATCTTAGCATGCACCAATATCGATTTCGAATAGTTTGCGAGTGCGAAATATCATTGTCAAATGTGTACTGATTTTTAGTTCTCGTTACTTCCATTGTGGCGGTGCTATTCAAGTTTCCATACAAAATTTGACATTGACATTTCGTACTAGCAAACTATTCGAATTCGATATTGGTTCGTGGTAAGGGTAAAGTTGTTTTTTTTTTGATAATGATTTACCAATTTATTTCGAATCATTCATATATTATTTACCCTTTGCTATTGTGCATCGTGTAGGTATTCGTTGATAATAGTGGACAGTGCGACGGCGCTGTACCGCACCGACTACTCGGGCCGCGGCGAGCTCAACCCGCGTCAGCAGCACCTGGGACGGTTCATGAGGATGCTGCTACGACTAGCTGACGAGGTAACTGACACTTCATCATCATCTGCCTATTAATGTCCCCACTCACACACAACAGAGAGCTCAATCTGCGCCGGCAGCACCACGGCCGATATATGAGGATGCTGCTCAGATTAGCTGACGAGGTAACTGACACTTCATCATCATCAGCCTATTAATGTCCCCACTCACACACAACAGAGAGCTCAATCAGCGCCGGCAGCACCACGGCCGATATATGAGGATGCTGCTCAGATTAGCTGACGAGGTAACTGACACTTCATCATCATCATCAGCCTATTAATGTCCCCACTCACACACACACACACAACAGAGAGCTCAATCTGCGCCGGCAGCACCACGGCCGATATATGAGGATGCTGCTCAGACTAGCTGACGAGGTAACTGACACTTCATCATCATCATCAGCCTATTAATGTCCCCACTCACACACACACACACAACAGAGAGCTCAATCTGCGCCGGCAGCACCACGGCCGATATATGAGGATGCTGCTCAGATTACCTGACGAGGTAACTGACACTTCATCATCATCAGCCTATTAATGTCCCCACTCACACACAACAGAGAGCTCAATCTGCGCCGGCAGCACCACGGCCGATATATGAGGATGCTGCTCAGATTAGCTGACGAGGTAACTGACACTTCATCATCATCATCAGCCTATTAATGTCCCCACTCACACACACACACACAACAGAGAGCTCAATCTGCGCCGGCAGCACCACGGCCGATATATGAGGATGCTGCTCAGATTAGCTGACGAGGTAACTGACACTTCATCATCATCATCAGCCTATTAATGTCCCCACTCACACACACACACACAACAGAGAGCTCAATCTGCGCCGGCAGCACCACGGCCGATATATGAGGATGCTGCTCAGATTAGCTGACGAGGTAACTGACACTTCATCATCATCATCAGCCTATTAATGTCCCCACTCACACACACACACACAACAGAGAGCTCAATCTGCGCCGGCAGCACCACGGCCGATATATGAGGATGCTGCTCAGATTACCTGACGAGGTAACTGACACTTCATCATCATCATCAGCCTATTAATGTCCCCACTCACACACACACACACAACAGAGAGCTCAATCTGCGCCGGCAGCACCACGGCCGATATATGAGGATGCTGCTCAGACTAGCTGTCGAGGTAACTGACACTTCTTCATCATCAGCCTATTAATGTCCACACTGCTAGGGCACAGGCCTCCCTATGGATGGAACGGAGAGCCAGCAGCACCACGGCTGATTCATGAGGAAGCTGCTGAGGCTAGCTGACGAGGTAACTGACACTTTCATCATCATCAGTCTATTAAAGTCCCCACTGCTTGGGCACAGGCCTACCCTATAATTATAATTCTGATTATAATTCAGTTTCTTTCAGTTATTCAGTTGAGGCTGTTACAAGCACTCATGAATGTCTAGATCGCATAAGGAAATTGGGCCGTGATCCACCACGCGGACGGACCCAGTGCAAATTGGTGGGTGCTAACGACTGCAGATGCAGCCGAGACCAATGGCTTAATGTGCCTTCCGAAGGACGGAGTAGCTCGAGATAGTACATTTTTGGTCACTCATCCAATGACCGACCATAGCGAAACTTGCTAAACTTCAACGATCGCAGCCGAATGCGCTAACCACTTGCGCCAACACACACTTCACAATCGGGTCCAATCCAATAGTATGGGGATCAATTCTCACCACTAGTGTACAGTCCGATCCAGTTCATCCAGTAATGAATGAATGAAATTAATGATAAGTAGTGGTAATGATATCAACCTGCGTCAGCAGCACCTTGGCCGATCCATGAGGATGCTGTTCAGATTAGCTGACGAGGTAACTTAACGATATAGGAGAAAATCCACTAGTACTTACTTGTTGTGGGCCCCCGTTTCCGCACGTAGATTCCGTACTTGGTCCATTGTGCATCCACTAGTACATATATAGTCCAAACAGATCAACCCACGTTTGTCTGCTGCGAGGATGTGTCAGATAAGCTACGAAACTACGTCACCGTTTCCACCGATGCTAAGCTATGTAGCGGGGCGAGTAAGATGCGCCTGCTTGGGGTACGCATAAGCAGTATTCATGCGGGCTATTTAAACTTTACGGCTCTATATATAGGTAATTTCGCCAAGTTAATCTATGGTTAAACTTTTTAATACAAAAGTAGGCTATAACTATCACAAAAAACGGCTTATAGTACCGTGGGTAGCGCGCCCCGATTGGGGCGTGCGGTGATCGACCGTGCGGTGTATTTTTCGAGCGTGCCCCGATCGGGGCGTGTGGTCTTTATTGAGAGCGATGTGTGTATTGTACTCTTCTCTTGATATAGCTACACCACTCTCAGCCATAATAGCCCGCAACCAGAGCACGCATCCTTCCATATAAAAACATATCTTAGTTGAACCCGTTTCCACCAGTGCTATGCTATGTGGACCGATGAATTTGATTGGTGGATATCAAACGCATCCACAGCAACGTAGCATAGCATATCTCTGGTGGAAAAGCAGCCTAAGTTTGATAAAAAATATTGCTGTCTCTTTCTTTGCTCCAACTATAGAGTGAGACAGCACGTTAGTGATATTTATTGAACGAATTTCACTTCAGCGAGTACATCTGTTAGGTTTCTTTCAAACTCAACTGTTTTACTATTTAAATGTAAATAAAAGTTTACTAGAAAAATATCCACGCGGACCAAGCAGCAGTCGGAACTCGAACTCGAACCCTTCGCTATCCGGGCGAATGCACTGACCATTATGCTACCGCGGCCCTGACGGCCGTGTTGAATTTTCTCTAGCCTTAGGTTGCAAGGTAGCACCATCTCCTCGCATTGTAAGTAACCCACAATCAAATCCCGTCTGTCGTCCGTGGAATTTCTTCTAGTAAACTTTTATTTTGATTTAAACGTCTAGCAGTTAAATGCTTAAAAAATAAAAGATAACTGACTTTCACCTTCCAGTTCGGCGTTGCGGTAATAATAACTAATCAAGTGGTAGCCCAAGTGGATTCCGTGGGTGTGTTCAACGCGGACACTAAGAAGCCCATCGGTGGGCATATAATAGCCCACGCTTCGACCACTCGACTCTACTTGAGGAAAGGCAGAGGAGATAACAGAGTCTGCAAGATTTATGATAGCCCTTGCTTGCCTGAGACTGAGGCGATGTTTGCTATAAGCAACGAAGGGATAACTGACGCTAAAGAATAGCTGTGGTAATGGTAATCTGACGCCGAAGAATAACCATACCAAGGCTCGTATTACAGAATTACTGACGCTAAAGAATAAGTGTGGCAATGGTAAGCTGACGCTGAAGAATAACCATACTAAGGCTCGTATTACAGAATAATTGTGGTAATGGTAAGCTGACACTGAAGAATAACCATACTAAGGCTCGTATTATAGAATAACTGACGCTAAAGAATAACTGTGGTAATGGTAATCTGACGCTATGGAATAACCATACTAAGGCCCGTATTATAGAAAGATTCTCAGTGATTGATCTAGTCTTGAGCATAGTTAGAAAGGGATGTCACTATATATAGCACATAGCGATATCCCTTTCTAACTGTACTCAAGTAAAGATCAACACTTAGTTGTCATTCTGTAATACGAGCTTAAATGGTAAGAAAGATATTGTTGTTAGTCACAGATCACCCTCATTATAGGTGTCCATTAGACGATTATGCAGTCTTATAAACGTTAGTTAATAACGTGAGATCGTTTTTTAAAACTTGTAAAATATCCTATTGGATCCAGTCCATCCGGGACATCTTTAGAGTCCGCATTACTTAATATTTTGAAATCGAAATCACCAAAGTTAAGTTAAGAAAAACGTAATAAACGTAAACGTATTAATAAATATCGCGACAAAAATTTCATTCCCATCATCTTGATGCGTGGCTATTAACAACCGTGCGTTTTTGTAGAAATTTTTTACCACGTACGACAAAACTGTGGAATATGTTGTCGCCAGCAGTGTTTCCGGACCAATACGACCCAAAAACCTTCAAAAAAGAGCGTACTCCTTCCTTAAAGACCGGCATCGCATTTGTGATACTCCTGGGGGCCAATCGCCTAACGGAAATGCTTTGGGAAACGCTAACGCTTACGATTTTATATTGTTATTTCTAGCCGCCTGAGGTTTTCGAATACCTCACGCTCATTTTTTTTAATATTGTTATTACCAATGCAAAAGAAAAAGAAAGAGCGCGAGGCATTTGAATACCTCAGGCGGCTAGAAATAACAAAATAAAATCGTAAGCGTTAGCGTTTTCCAAAGCATTTCCGTTAGGCGATTGGCCCCCTGGTGTTGCAAGTGTCCAGTGCGCTTACCATCAGGTGAGCCGTCTGCTCGTATGCCCCTATAACATAAAAAAAAATGTGTAACGTCACCGTCGGATGACAGGTTGGCAACTTTTGGGGGCGTGTCACACGCTTATGCAGTATCATTAAAAAGGTTGGGACATGCATAATTATGCTTTTCTATGACATCTCTAGTGGGGGTGCATTGCGTTATTACTATTTAGTATTCATTGGAAACAATTTGATGGCGTATGAAAAAATGTGAGATGGCCAACGTTGCCAGTTAACGGTGTCAACTTATTACATGTATTATAATAGGGTATTTGATAAGTTTTAGGCAACAATCTCACGATATTGACTAATGCTTATGGAGTCAGTAAAAAGTGGATATTCATCATTCTGTTGTGTATTTCAGTAAAAATAACCAAATCAAAAACTCCATTTTCAAGTTGCCGCGTAAACGTTTTTCTGGACAATATGGTGTCTTACTAGAGTGTGACGTCACACGACTGTAATTAAAACGTCGAACGATACAATGTAATGTCACTTTAACCGGAAGTTTACTTGCGTGTGACGTCATTTTAGGCTCCGCCAATCCATAGCGTTTTGGGGCACGTGACTATAGATAGGAAAACTATTATCTTTTCCGAAGTTTAGTAAAATTATGAATATTTTTTTTTATAAAAATAGTAAAAACCTCTGCCAATTTTAAATCTAAACACAGATGCTAACAATTGGCACTTTATTTTTAATACTGTCAAATACCCTATTTATTTTATTTATTGTGTAAATTAACTAGACTATGCAATGCATTTATGTGATGTAGTTTGTCTGTATACCTGCTAAGACAAATAACATCACATACATATATTCCCATTTTTCACTGTTAAATAAAATAATCTTTTTTTACAATTACCAGTTTTTCTTTAGTTAAAGATTTCGTAGTATGACTTAAATAAAGATAACATTTGGATCAAAAATATGTTTTTTTTTTTTCCAGAATCTGGATACAATATTTTTATTCCAAATGTCTTTTTGACGTGACAACGTCTTAAATTAGGTTGCGGCTGGGAGTCACTTATGAATAAGTGTAACGCTCGGTAACGTTACGATGAGTCTCTCGTGTTAAGTTTAAGTTTACATGTACAATGTTTTAGTAAACAAAATATATTTCTATAGTTAAAATTTGTGCAATTCTTATTTTCATTCAATTCCTTGTTCCTATTGTGCAATTTAATTATATTCATATCAATAAATATTCTACCGAGAAAAAGACGTTGTCACGTAAAATCTTCGCCCGTAAAACCGACTTTACAGGCAACCATTTTTTTTTAACAGCCAGACAGGTGAAAATCGAGAAATTTTAAAAGTGATTACATACTTATTACCATCTGTGACCTTTGAGGTAATAAAAAAAACAACTGGAAAGCATTGAAATGTGCTTTAATTATATGCAAAAAGTGATATTACGAATGAGAATGTTACACGAATTTCGCTTTTATTGCTACAGCATTAAGGCGCTGTGATGTCAATTTGTATCCACCGATGTGCCTTTAACTGTAATTAAATGAATAAGGCTTTAATACTGTACCGACATTAAATACGAATGATACTGTCAGGAGTAAATATATTTACAACATAGTATACTATATTTATATGACAAAAAATTATACAAAAATTACAAAACAAAACCTTGAACGACATAAGGCATTTTGAATTGCTGGGCAATCAATGACCTCGCTAGAATGAATTATTCCAGTAATCACCACAGTTTTCAACTTAATGCATTACCATATAAGATTTTCTGTTAAATATTGTAAAAGTTAAAAAACAATATTTGTTAACTTGTGCTATAGAATTGAAGAACAATTTTAATGTTTTTATTACACCACGTTATGTTATATTATAAAATGCCTGTCTCTGTAAATCTCATCTACCAAGGTGGACTCGATGTCGAATATTGTAAATAAGCAATCTATTGTAATTCTAGTTTTTAATTAAAAAGCAATGCATTTTTTTTTGTTTTGTTTTAATCATTGACCTACCCATAACGCACTTTTAAGTGCAGGTAAAGACTCAAACTAGTTAAACAAACCTGATAAGTTATAAAAGAAGAAATGTAAACCTGTTTACTTAAAATGAAGCGTAATGGATTAACTACCTACTTAGATTAAAACAAAAATGGTTGCCTGTAAAGTCGGTTTTACGGGCGAAGATTTTACGTGACAACGTCTTTTTCTCGGTAGAATATTTATTGATATGAATATAATTAAATTGCACAATAGGAACACGGGCCCAGTGCGGATTGGTGGGTGCTAACGACTGCAGATGCAACCAGGACCAACGGCTTAACGTGCCTTCCGAAGCACGGAGGAGCTCGAGATAGTAAATTTTTGGTCACCCATCCAATGACCGACCGCTGCGAAAGTTGCTTAATTTCAACGATCGCAGCCGAACGCGCTAACCAGTTGCACCATCGAGCTCCTCTTCGAGCTTAGTCAATTATCGAATTTAAATATTTTATATAATTTCACGGAAAGTTGTGATTTAAAAAATGCCACGAGGATTATCAGATGTTTTACGAGCCAGAATTGTAACTTTGAGGGAAGAAGGCTATTCTACGAGAGAATAACACGCAGAGTTGTCATACCCCAATCCTGTCAAGTAACCACGTTGCAGAGGTACCACGGCATGGGTAATTTAGCTGAGCGACTCCGCAGCGGTCGCCCAACTGTTCTGACAGCTGCTCAGAAGCGCTACATCAGGTTGCTGGTAGACCGCGACTCAATAATAAACGCCACTAAATTAAAAGCACAAATACGGGCCCCCTCCGGACTTGAAGTTAGCACTCAGACCATTCGGAATTGCTTACACAAGGCTGGATTACGAGCACGGAGGTCTTGGCGAGTACCTTTGAATTCACGGGAACGTCAGCGACGGAGATTACAGTGGGATAGCCTCCGGCAAAACGACTTCGTTGACGAATCGCGAATCAGTACTGACCCAGATAACTGACGTGTCCGTGTTTGGCGAAGACTGGGGACTGAATGGCAAAGAACGGCCACTGGAACGGTTCAGCAAATCGGGCAATCAGTGTCCTTTTGGGGTGGTATTATGATTGGGGCTAGCTAGAACGCCTTTAATCCCTCATGACGGCAGACAGACACAAAACAGTCGCTATTGATGGAATCGTCAGACCTTTCCGAGTAAACCATGGGCACCAAATTGTACTGGTTGACGATAATGCGCCCGCACATCGAGCTCAACCAGACAATGCTGCTCTCCGAGAATTCGAAATAACAAGGTTTCGCTCCGACTGGCCTGCCGGCTCTCCTGACATAAACACCATAAAGCACGCGTGGGATGCTCTTAAGCGAGCTGTTTGGAACCGGCAGCCACCACCCCAGACAGTGCGGCAGCTCAGGGTTGTTTCAGCTGCTGTTCAAGAGTGGGACAGGTTACCACAAGAAATGCTGGATAACTTGATCCTCAGCATGCCCAAGAGGATCTCCGCATGTGTTCGAGCCAGAGGAGGAGTTATTTTGTATTAGATAAACAACAATTTATTAATAAAAGGTTAAAAGTTTGGTTAAACTATCTTAGCTCTATTACAATCGCCTTAGGATTGAATTATTAATTTTTTTATACTACAAAATAAAATTTAATTTTGTGTTTTTTAATTTCAGAACGTTTTTTTTTAAATAAAAAAAGATATAACGTAAACTTTTTTTTTTGATTAAGTTAAATTTTGAAATATATCGGCTTTTGCACGTGATCTCAAACTTTTTTTGATATCTGTACATCTCATAAAATATGCTGCGACTCAATTACTTAAGCAACGATCATGCACACACTTCTTTTAAACATCAATCATGGACTCAATTCATTGAATCGAGCGAGCGAGACAAATCTAGCTAATAATCTAGCAAAACGGTGAGTCTGCGTTGCTTGGCTTGGCGACTGCGTTTTCTTTTCTCTCTACAAACAATTAAGCTGTATTATTGTCCTTTTCCTGATAATAAATGGCGAAAAAGTAAACAACATTCATGACAAACCATGATTTTTGAGAAAACAAAATGTTTTCATAGTTTTACGAATGAATGAATGAAGTGTTGCCGCGTTTTTTTGAAGTTATACTTCTTTAGGCGCGTTATGAAAAAATGATGAGAGTGAAATTTTTAGATGCGCGCGCATCACTGTAACCCAAAAGTAACAGCATGAAGTTGGCCGCGGGCGCGTTATGAAAAAATCATGTGAGTGAAATTTCGAGATGCGCGCGCATCACTGTAACACAATAGTAACACCATGAAGTTGGCCGCGGGCGCGTTTGAATGAAACCACTAAGTGGTTAATAATCCACCATTATTAGACATCTGTTCGAAAGGTACTTTGAACGATCCACGGAGCTCCAGAAGATGATCGCGTTGTCAAAAACAATGTTGGCACGCTCGTCGCCTCTGATCACTGTTTTCATATTTATAATATTTATCCACATGTTTCTAGTTTCTATATAGACACAACGTGTAGACATGGGCGTTTGTGGTTTTCTACGCAAACGGATATTTATCGGATTTCAGATTTCAAAATCGATTTTAAAATCCGTTTTTAGATATCCGATTTCAGATGTGCCGAACTTAGCCAATTCACTAGTTTGTGTTATGATTTGGTTTTATTAGCTAACGACAATCACAAACAATTAATTGTACGAAGCAAGGATACTCGTAGATTTGCGCGATTTTCCTTTATGCTTTAAATCTAGGCTTAGGCAAGAGTATATATTCTGTGGCTTAGGACTAGCAGAAAAGTTATATTTACGGTTAAAAGTAAAACTTTAGCGGCGCATTTAAAAATCGGCTTATATACAATGATTTCTTTTTACATATTTTTTTTTATTTTTCTGTTTGATTTTATTATTTTCAAACCATTTACAAAATCAAACCTAATTACTTCAGGTTAGCGTTCAAAAAATGACAGTTGCTCGACTTTTGATGTTTTTAGACGACATCTTTTTCAGTAATAAATAATCCCGCCTTAGAGAAGAACAATAGATTTCCGTAAACAGCAAACCGAAATCGGACTTCCGAGCACGAAATCGGACTTCCGAAAACGAAAGTACGAATTTCGAATCCGATTTACATTTGGATACTTGTGGTGGTATTAGATCGCTAGCGTTTTGGTTCGGTTAGATTTCTGAAATCGGATTTTCTTGTTGAGAAATCGTTCGGTATCGATTTGTGTTTGAAATCGGATTTTGGATTCGTTATGATATATCGGACGCATGCCTAACAACGTGTTTTAGTTACTTACAAGTGCTAATTACATATGGACTAATAACTTAAATTCAGTAGTGATTTTAATTGAATATTTTGAATATTTATTTAATTTTTCAAATTAAAACTGAACTTAATTGACTGTGTTAACTATCCTTTTCCAGTCCTTTTATTATTTTATTCTAAAAATATTTTTAATGATGCTAAAGAAGTATAACTTCTCACGCGCGTACATAAGTTACACGCATCCATTTTTTATTTATTTTTAACTGTTGCTGTTCTTCTTAAAAGCATCGAAGGCATTGTTACAGTATATAAATCTTGGCATTGTTTTATCTTTAAATTACAGAATTAGGGTTGCAACGATATATCGGAATATCGATAATATCGAGACCAAAATATCGATATTTAAAATTCACTGATATCGATAATATCGATATCGGAAATTCCAAAATATCGATATTTCGTAGACTGAATTTGAACACAATAATATCAATTAATTTACCTGCTATGACTATCTACATTGAATAATATCGAAATAACTATTGCTTTAAAATCGCAAGAGCTTAATATGTATTGAAAAAATCTTAAAGAAATATACTAAACTGGTGTGGATTCTGGCATGATTCTCTAAACCTAAAATTAAATTTGACAACAGTGTATCCTTGTCATTCTCTATACAGAATGACAAGGAGAGACTGATGTTAAATTTAGTTTTAAGTTTAGATAATCATGCCAGAATCGATACCAACGTATATAGGTATAATCGTATACCTAATGGTAACTCATGCACTTAAATAAAATCCTTGCCTCTCTTTTATAGATAATTCTCAACTACTGATTAATTGAAATTTAATATCATTGTAATATAACACAAAATAAAATTAAGAATCTTATACAAATCGTAAATTTTTTAAGCTCGCCAAGTCAAGAAAGTAAGATAGGTATAGTAATTTTGGAAGCTTTGGGCTTAACCTATTCTGAAGCCATGGGCACGCTCCTGATGTGTGGGAGACTAAGCAATTTGCGTATTTGATGTGCGCTAAAAAACCGACATAGCTTGGAAAAGCACGAATGTAGTGAAAACTCTGTAGGTCCCACATATGCGGGTTGGCGCATTCGTGCTAACGAATGTGAGTAATCTGATCAGGATAATAATTTTAATTTTTTGGTTTCCTGCCGTGGCTGAAACACAAACCGTACGAGCCAATAAAAAAAAACCTGCTTGGCGCGATTTCATCAAGCGTGTTTAACGAAAAAGCTGGCTCAATGCATTTTGCCAGAAACTCGCCAACAATCATATGAATGTGTCACACTCACCACGTATTCTGATGTCAATAAAAAATAAAAAGGAAAAATATCGATATATCGAGTTGAAATGGTCGATATATTGGATATCGATATTTTCCTGACTTCGATATAAATATCGATATAAATATTGATATTTCAAAAGACTTTGCATCCCTACACAGAATATAAGAAATACTGTTATATTGAATTTACACGCAGCGTGTTTGAATGTCCAATTGTGGCTAAAGCAAATTGTGGTCTTGCACCACAATTTAAGCGGATCAGTTTTGAGCCGCGAGTGCCGTATCGTCCCTTTTTGTTTTAATCTAAAGTTAACTAACATTGAAAAGGAGAAGAAGTATTACAAAAACCGACCAAGTGCGATCGGACTCGCGCACGAAGGGATCTGTTTCATTATCTATACAGAAATCAGAAATCAATATATCTTTATTCAAATTGGATGTATAGTACAACTCTTTTGAATCGTCCAAATTTTTTTCCCTACCACTCACTCGTTATTGGACATATTTTTTAGCCGCGGAGAAAAACGAGCGAAAAATCTCCACAACATTAAAAGTATAATATAACAACATTTACAAATCATTATGTTGTTACAACGTCAATACAATGATGATTTATTTAATATAGAAAACCTGTTGGAATGATTGGAACAGTTCAAACCCAAGCGTTTTTGTATGTACCCCTAGCACGATATCGATATCAAAAATATCAATAAATGCCCGTCTCTAATATTTCCACAGATTTTTTTGACAGCTACACGACGCGCATTCTCGAGGATAGTCTCACTCACAACTACTAATGCGTCCGGAGAAGATCAAGTAGACTTGGCAAGTCTATTTGATTGAAGCGAATATTGATTGTTTACGGCGTTGGTTGACGTCAATTCAAGACGGTAAACGATCAATATTCGCTTCAATCAAGTAGACTTGGCAAGTCAACTTGATCGTCTCCGGGACGCATTAGTAGTCTGTGTGACTATCCTCGAGAATGCGCGTCGTGTATCTGTCAAAAAATCTGTGGAAATATTGCACAAAGGTTCGGAATCGCAATTTGCTTTGTTTTCGTGAAATGTCTGCGAATACACCACCAGGAAAGAGTAATGGTAAGTCTTAAAATTAAGATAAACTATAAAAAACTATTATTTGCAAATATAATAAAAAACATTGCTTTGGATTTTAGGCGAAGAGCCCATTGATACAATAGGACCCAGTGTCCCGCCAAATCCAATTGAGAATCTTGGCGCTAGAATCAGGGACCTTGATGTGGATTCCATCAGACGATACTTGGCACAGAAGCTCGGGTTTTACGAGCCTGCTGAGCCATCGGCTCCGAGCGAAAAAGTACTTGACGAGGTTACCTTAGATGGAATTGTAAAATGGATAAAGAGTGATAGATGCAAGAATATAATAACATTATCTGGAGCTGGCATATCCACCGGTAAGTTTATTTTATAAGTTTAATCAAATAATATCAGTCATGGTAATTTTTTACATGTATCAAAACACTGAAAATATTTACATGTAGATTGCATTATCAAGGTCATTGCCAGTGATGTTTGTTTGTTATTGGAATATTTTGTATTATGTTGTCACTTCTCTAATCTTAGGAAATAAACCAAAATAAATATAGTAAGTAAATTATAAAAGTTACATTATAAAATTATGATAAAAAATAATGTTATTGAACAACTTTTGCACCATTTTTAATTCCATTCATACTAATATTGTAAATGCTCTCACACACACCTGAAGTAATTAACTGATCTTAAAGAATTTTAGTTTTAGAGATGATCTTGGGTAATGCCATAGGCTACTTTTTATTGCAATAATAACACGTAGATATGAAATTCTGACCATGTAAGAATTTCTCTGTCTGATAATTATTATATTATCACCGAACCAGTGGACCAATTTTGATTAAATTCTTTTGATGAATTGTGTTGAATTTTGTTCTGAAAATTATGAGAAACCAATAATTCTTAAATTAGTTGAATTATTGTCACCTTACTTACTTACTTACTTACTTACATACTTGTGTTATTTCAAGTGTCAAGGTGGCAAACTAGCATATGATAGCCTGCTTGATTGTAAGCGACCACCCTAGCATATAGACAATTGTGATACAAAAATTATTTTTCCATTCCCCATTTCCCTACCTGGAGCCCGGGAACCTCACTCACCGACAGAAACACAACACCACCAAGAGGTAGTGTTATTTTAGTATGGTCTTCTGTAAGGTGGAGATTACTTCCCGAGACAGGCGTTCCAATTCGAGTGGAAAATCCACTATGCCCTACCTCATTTAATTATTAAAACAAATTTCAGCTGCTGGAATCCCAGATTTTCGTAGTCCGGAGACTGGCTTATACCATAATTTGCAGAAGTACAACCTACCAGAACCACAGGCTATATTTGAAATAAACTTCTTCAGACAGAATCCAAAACCATTCTTTTGTTTAGCTAAAGAAATGTACCCAGGAAATTTCAAACCAACCACGTCACATTATTTCATTAGGCTACTACATGAGAAAGGTAAGAAACTGCAATTTTTAAAGCACTATATTTATTAATCATTATATATGTCACTGGCAATCTGTAGAATTCAGGTATATTTAATACAAAGGCAATGTATAGAATGCCTGGAGCGTCTAGATAATGTATACAATTCCTAGGGATTGTATAGAGTATCTGCTGGCCCACTGGCAACTAGTCTTAAAGCCTTGAGTCCTATCATCACTACTATCAACTAATCTACATCCTAACCCCAAGGAGGGTTCCGAATCATATGAGTTTAATAAAAATATTTGTTGATTTCTTTATAACCATTAATTCTTTTTTACAGGCTTATTGTTACGTCATTACACTCAAAATATTGATACATTGGAGAGACGTGCTGATCTTCCAGATGATAAACTGGTTGAAGCTCATGGTACATTCTACACGTCCCATTGTTTAGAATGCCGTAAAGAATATACTTTAGACTTTGTTAAAGGTAAGACATGTATGAAACTTTACACAAATAAAAGTGCAAGTTTCTTCTATGTCATAATTTATCAAACTACTTTATGTATTTTTACTACTGACATTTGCAGTATTGTATGATATTGTTGGAGTTTATTTGTCCATTATGTTAAGACAAATTATTTTTTATTGTAAATTTTTGTATGCTGGTAACAACAAATTGTGAAAATACCAATTTTTTTATTGGACATCTGTATCAACATTTTTGACTAATTGATGCAAAAATAGCAATTCTAACCTTTGCTCTAAAGCTCCTTTAAAATATGTATTTTTAATAGAATTGTGGTCTTTTTATCATTTAGATTCAATTCATATTTTGTTTTATTCGTTTTAATGTAATAGATTTACTCCCACTCTGTTTAATGTTTGTAGCCATACCACCTCTGCTTTTGACACCACTGCCTAAATAAAAAGAGTGTAACATATTCAGGGTTCATGTATGTATGTATGTACAATTCTTTATTCCACCATAACTTCTAAACGCCTGAACCATTTTAGATGTATGATGTATTTGATATCATTAGAATCCTTTCATGATCCCAGGTAACATCAGATACCGAAACTGTTAAAGTTGAAATACCAGCCTAAAAAGTCTCCTAATTATTACAATATGGGTATCATTTGAAAAGTCTTAAAATATAAATCAATAAACGGGTTTACCTGTAAAACAAGATAAATAATAGATTTTTTTGTTCATTTTTTAACCACAGTAGTGTTTTTTATTTTTTAAATTATTTCTTAACGTAGGTATAGGATTGTGATTTACCTAGGATTTATTTACTAGACAGGATTTTTGCCGATGAGATCCCTATCTGCACTGAATGTCCGGGTGTGGTGAAGCCCGACATCGTTTTCTTTGGCGAGAGTCTGCCGGAGCGGTTCCAGCGTTGTCTGCAAGAAGACTTTGAGAGATGCGACATGCTAATCATAATGGGCTCCTCGCTCGAAGTTCAACCTTTCGCCTCACTAATCGACATGTAAGTATATTATATCTAATACTATTACGTACACGTTTTGAGTCTTTTTTTGAAGTGAAAACTTCTTTAGCGGCGTTGTACACTTTTTTTTGTAATGGATAAAACTGTTGGTTTTCATACAGCAAATAAATAAATTAAACATTAGTAACTTAAACAACATAGGATCGTTTTTAAAACCTATCAAATACAATTTTTTTTTTTATTATTTTTAAAGCATGTAACTGCTTGATGTTTAAATCTAAAGAAAATATAACTAGAAAAAATTATACCTATCAAATACATTATTATTGCCTGTAGGGTGCCTGACTGGTGTCCCCGCTTACTCATAAACCGTGAAAGGGCCGGGGTTCGATCTCCTATGCTCAGGCTGTGGGGTTTGGGTGGTGGGCTGCAGTTCGATGAAGACAGCATTCGAGACGTGGCTCGTCTGGGAGATTGTGACGATGGCTGCCAAGACTTGGCTGACAGGCTGGGGTGGGGGGTGAGTATCTATACATATAATAAAATGGTAGGAAAGTCAAAACTGTACATTGAATATTTTTTTAAAATATACTTGCAGTGTGATCTGTAATCGATACTGAAGCCAAAAATATACTTTTTGGAATTTTTGTCTGTTTGTCTGTATGTATGTCCGGGATAAACTCAGAAAGTACTGCATGGATTTACTTCAAATTTGGCACAAATATTATTAAGAGTTGGGTCAACATATAGGTTTTATATTATTATTAGGCTATCACCTACGGGGAACGAGCAGGGAACCTTTATTTTTAACTAACTCCACGCGTACGAAGTCGCGGGCGGCCGCTAGTGGTTTTAATACAATTTCAGAAAGCAGCATTCGAGATGTGGCCGGTCTCAGTGGTTTTTTGGCCCAAAAAAAAATCCCTTTTCTGTTTTTTGCTGTAATTAATCAAGAGACACATATTAAATGTATACGAGTAAAAAACCCAAGTGTCTATCTTAAATACTTTTTTTTATAAAAAAAAAACATGAACTTTACATACGTGACCTTATCGCGAAAAACGTAAAAATGAATTCTGGAAGCGTACCCGATTCAGACTTACATTTCAAAAAATTTAAATTGCAAAAAACCGCCTAAATATGTTCCATTAGACCATATTTATTTTAAATGAATACCTTTGTCGGTTACGCTTTCAGATTTTATTTTTACGTTTCTACACGATAAGTTCACGTAAAGTTCATGATTTAAAAATAAAAAATTTAATATAGACACGTGGGTGTTTTACTAGTACATTTAATGTGTGTCTCTTGATCAATTACAGCGAAAAACGGAAGAGGGAAAATTTTTGGGCCGAAAATAGTGTGCTTTTGAGAGATTGTGATCACAGTCTGTGTATTATTCTGTTTTTTTCTTAAATGTCTTGATAGTGTTTTCACGATTTTATATGAAACGCAGATTACGCTACGACACCGGAGAGGAGTATGAATAAAAAATCGGCCAAGTGCGGGTCAGACTCGCGCACGAAGGGTTCCGTACCATTATCTTTACAACATTATGACGACCTCCGTGGCCGAGTGGTTTGTACGCCGGGTTTCATGGTGTCACCGACTCGAAAGGTCCCGGGTTCGAATCCCGGTGGGGGCAGATGTTTGTGTGATGAATTCGAGCATTTGTACTCCAGTCATGCATGTTTAATTTATATTTCTATATAAAATACACTTATATATGTACTGTATATGTATTCTATCCGTTACCCTAGTATCCAATAACACAAGCCTTACAGTGCTTACCTTTGGGGCTAGGCTAATTGGTGTGAGTGTTGGAAATGTTTATTTATTTATTTATCGGGCATATATTATAACATCAAGCAAAAAATGGCAAAAAAATCACGCCTATGTATGTGAGCCCCCAAAAATATTCATTTTATTTTAATCTTACTTATTATTTTTAAAGTGAATATACAAATAAATAAAAATATTCTGTAAATATTTAAAGTCTACCTATTACCGATATTAATGTAGAGTCAACAACGCAAACAAGTTTGTTGCATGGGAGCCCCCCTTTAATATTTATTTTATTCTACTTTTAGTATTTGTTGTTATAGCGGCAATAGAAATACATTATCAGTGAAATTTTCAACTGTCTAGCTAACACGGCTCAAGAGATACAGCCTGGTGACAGAAAGACAGACGAACAGTGGAGTTTAAGTAATAACCCAAGGCCCCTTTTTTGTCCTTTGCGTACGGAACCCTAAAAATTTTGCATAAACTATTCCTTAATTACTACTTTAAACTCTTAAAATAAACCAATATGTTTTTGTAGACACTTTTCCTCTAATTTAATGCAGCTGAAACCGCGCGGAACTTCTAGTCAAAGATACATAAATTCACTTTAAATTCATTCAAATTCAATGCAGCTTTTTTTTATTAAATTTAAATTATTAAAAAATTCAAAGCAATATGTTTTTTTTTATAAAAACTCGTACTTTTTTTAATAAAAAGAAACTTTTAAATAAAACTAGTTTTAACGGGTTAATGCACGAACTTTATTTATTGACTATTCTGACGATGCAGACCTGAAAAGGCTGCGAAACGTCAATAAATAAATAAAGTTCGTGCATTAACCCATTAAAACTAGTTTTATTAAATGAGTGATGTGCGTGAAAACCTAAGAAACTAAAACTTTTAAATTTGAATGAATGACCTTACTTGTTGTTGAATTATGTCAACTTGAATAAATTTCATTTTCATTTCGCTACATTTCAACAGGATGAACTTCGTGCGTTAGTAGCGCAGGAGCATGAACGACTCGAGATGGAAGGGGGGGTTTCCACGCTCGCGTCACACAGCGTTTCAGAAACCAAACCATAGTGTACTCGAACCAACGACGTCGGCAGTTAGGTGAATACTTGTAGTATAGTATCAATTATAACGGCGTACTTACATAGAGACGGGTGCAGAAGTGACACACAAAATTCGTTACATTTTAAATTACTCTACATGGTCTACCTCACAGAACACAGAACGAAATTAGAAGGGTGATCATATACCATTTGTGCGGGAGCCATAGAGGTATAAGAATAGAGTGGGGAAGGCGGCTCTAAAAGTGTCCGTCTAGTAGAAAGAGAAAGAAGATGAGAGACCGCTAGCTATCTCTTTCTCTTGTGACGCATGCGCAGTCGTTTGTCCAATAGTTGGTACAAGCATTACATCTAAATAGTAAGATGCTCACGGTTGCCAATGCGCATGCGCGATTAGAGAGAGAAAGCTAGCGGTCTCTCATCTTCTTTCTCTTTCTATTGGAGGGACACTACCACTTGTAGTAGAGTACTATATAGAGGGTGTTACAAAAATACAAATAAAGTTTGAAGGGCGTTGAAGTACATCATATAAGGAGTCTTCTCTAATTTTCTTAAAATATTTTCATGAAGTTTAAACTTTTTATAAAAACAGTTATTTTTAATGATCCTCGAACTAGTGACGTATCTTAAAATGATCGATATTTTTAATTAATCATTAATATAAAAAGTTTAAACTTAATGCAAATATTTTAAGAAAATTAGAGAAGACTCCTTGTGTGATGTACTTTAACGCCCTTCAAGCTTTATTTGTATTTTTGTAACACCCTGTATACTCCCCTACTCTATTCTTATACCTCTATGGCGGGAGCTGATGTCCCCGGCTCGCCTCCACTACACCTCCACCTAATAGATAATAGCCAATCAAACGAGGCGACATCAAAAAATCAAACCAATCAGCGATCACACCGGAGAGCAATAACGCAATAAGAACCAAGTTTTGGTCAAGTTACGAGCATTTGCTCACACATAACTGTGACGCGCCTGCCCCGCCCACAAGGGCCTACTAACCTCTTTCTGTGTAGGTTTTGTTCGTGGAACAGAGGTGACTTTGTAAGTGCGATCAAAGCACCTACATAATCCCCCATAATAAACGAAGAATAAGCTTGGATTAGTTACTTCATGTTTTGTCTCTGTTCATTGAATAACAAATGGCATTTGAGTGATATGAAGGAAACACGGTGTAACTAATCTTAACTTATACCTCGTTTATTATTGAGAGGGTACATGTAGGTGTAGGTATACTATTTGGATTTGAAGCTTTCATAACATTAAAGACTGTCCTTTTCGTTATTTTTTATTGTGTACGTAGTTACACCCGAGAGCAATAACGCAATAAGAACCAAGTTTTGGTCAAGTTATGACCATTTGCTCACACATAACTGTGGCGCTCCTGTATCGCCCACAAGACCCTTCTAACCTCTTTCTGTGTTCTGTGGTCTACCTACACCGTACTTATTTATTGTAATCGCAACCTTTGTATCTCCATTATGGTCTGCAGAATTGAATTGACTGTGCGTAGCAAATAGTTATTTATGATATCAGTGCGGTAAGTTGGGTATTACAGGCGAGTTTGTCTCCGGCTTACCATAGTCACGAGTGTCATACAACGTTTTTCAACACATTTGCGAGAAAACTTTACATTCCTAATTTAAGTAATGAAGCAAACTGTTTTCTTATAATAAAATGGCGCACTTTTCCAAATGGTCATTTGTCTTTTGACGTGACAACGTCTTAAATTAGGTTGCGGCTGGGAGTCACTTATGAAAAAGTGTAACGCTCGGTAACGTTACGATGAGTCTCTCGTGTTAAGTTTAAGTTTACATGTACAATGTTTTAGTAAACAAAATATATTTCTATAGTTAAAATTTGTGCAATTCTTATTTTCATTCAATTCCTTGTTCCTATTGTGCAATTTAATTATATTCATATCAATAAATATTCTACCGAGAAAAAGACGTTGTCACGTAAAATCTTCGCCCGTAAAACCGACTTTACAGGCAACCATTTTTTAACTTAAAAAACAGTATCAATCATACTGTATGAAAGGGTAAATTAACAAATTAATGAAAATAATATATATATGTAAATATATATTTATTTCTGTTTAGTATTAAAGTGAGACAAAGGTAAAGTATTTAAAGTTAAAGTTACTTAGAAAATTAAAAAAAAACCTTAAAGGATACGTACGGCGCCATGTATGGGAGCGTGCGGTAAAATGTTTTACCACACGCTCCGTTGTATGGTCCGTAACATTGAACTTTCGAACAATGTATACATCCTCTGTAAATGCATTTTTTGAGCAAATGTGTTGAAAACGTTATATTATTATATAGTTGCTATTCTTTGATCGTAAGAAACGTTATTTTAATATAGACCTTATGCCGTAATACTTATGGTTGCAAATGTAATGTAAATAAACTTGTGTTATGTCACCCGTATATACCTTATGCTACTACATTTAAGGTTGCAAATGTAATGCATAATTGAATTGTTACGTAATTGAATGTGACGAATTTTTGTTACTACTGTAAAACTTAAAAATAATTGAGTATACTGTAACTGTTACACTGGCTGTCACAAGACCTACATTAGCGTGCCTTTCATCATTTAATAAGAGTTCTATCCCTTTCTGGCATTGTCATTTGCTAAGGCGGAAAAGATGGAGAGATTGTATTTTTTTCACGCTTTTACAAACGCCATAAAGGGATGGAGCAACAGTAAATGCTGAGCTGAAAAATGTTAGAACAGATTTAATTTATTTTCTTGTTTGAAAATTATTACATCTAAAAGCTTAATGTAGGCTAACTTTAATATTTGTTTTTTACATCAATCGATCAATGATTCGACTTTTCGACGATTAATTTTATTTTACAAATGGTTTATGTTACAAATGTTACTTTTTTTTATTTAAAAAAAAATGAAGTTTTGTTACATATTATTCCAATTTCTGACATGGCCTAAGTATCTTGTGAAAATTTTACTAGAAAAAAACAATCCATTCTGTTCCAAAAAGGATATCTTGTAAAATTATCTTTAGATTGAAATCTAGCAGTTTATTACTTAAAAATAACAATACAATGAACTATATATCTTGTATTGAAAATATATAATTCAACAAATAGCAAAGTCTTAATAAAAAACATTATTGTTCATTGACACTGAAAAATCTCTGTGAAGTAATTCTTACTTAACAATAAACTTACTATTACTACCTATATAAATATAGATTTGTATCGCTTTGTTAATATAAATGAGGAGTACATTGCAATCCAGATTAGGTATAGATATAGTGCTAAAATGTATATCATTATATTTATTCAAGTGGGATACCATTTTGTCCCTAATTAACTATGGCCTTGGTCATGAAGCCTTAGGAAGCCTGTAATATATTGTATACATGAATTGTTAACCCATTAATATAATATAGAGAAAATTTTACTATAAAAATCCACTCTGCCAAGTTATCAGACGGGTCTTCTTTGTTATGCAAAACCATAGACAAATAAATTGGCGCCGTAGACATTTTTGTATTTAAAATTGCTACAGCGCATGCTTCCTAGTCTATGGTCGTTGCTCAGGAAGTTTGCCGGTGTGTATACCTGGACTGAGTTATTATTTTTCTAGTAAAATTTTCTTTAGATTTATAAATCTAGCAGTGTGAATAACTACCTATAATTTACTTATAAATTTAATGTTTGCGAGCGTGTTTTTGCACAATATTTTGTTAAACCAAGTTTGCGATGTGAATCCATTTAAAACATACGTGAAAGCTGAAACTTTTTTTAATGCGCGGTAAAAAAGCCCTGAAGTGAAACCAATGGGTGCCTTAGGGCCTGTTTCACAATCGATAAGTAAAGTTCTAAGTAAGGTATGTACTTAGGACATAACAGTTCAGTAAATAAGTAAATAGGGTATTTGACAAGTTTTAGAAAACGATCTCACGTTATTTACTAATGTTTATAGAGTCCGTAAAAAGTGGATATTCATCATTATCTTGTTCATTTCGGTAAAAAAAACTAAATCATAAACTCTATTTTCAAGTTACCGCGAAAACGTATCTCTGGACAATATGGCGTCTCACTAGTGTGTGACGTCACACGACTTTTATTAAAACGTCAAACCATATAATCTAATGTCACTTTAACCGGAAGTTTACTTGCGTGTGACGTCATTTTAGGTTCCACCAATCCCACGCGTTTTGGGTCACGTGACAAAAGACAAGAAGACTATTATCTTTATCGTGGGTTTTTAGTAATATGAATATTTTTTCTGTAAAAATAGTAAAAACCCCTGCGAATATTCATTCTAAATACAGATGCTAACAATTGGCACTTTATTTTTAATACTGCCAAATACCCCATTGCGTTACATAATCCCTTATGCGTAGCCCACAGTAGGAGATGCGTGGCTTAGACTTACGGAGCGGAGTAGTTGTAGAAGTAGTTTCATGTATGCCATGAAAATTTTAAACTTATGCTAAAGGATATAGGGTTTAACTTAAGCCGGGTCTCCAGCAAAACTTTTTGGAAAACATTCAACAAAAACACATACACAAAACTTTGTGACGACCTCCGTGGTTTGTACGCCGGGTTTCATGGCGTCGCCGACGCGAGAGGTCTCGGGTTCGAATCTCGGTGGGGGCAGATATTTGTGTGATGAACACGAGCATTTGTACTCCAGCATGGATGTTTAAATATGTATTTCTATATAAATATACTTATATATGTAAAGTATGTGTATTCTATCCGTTACCCTAGTATCCCATAACACAAGCCTTATAGTGCTTACTTTGGGGCTAGGCTAATTGGTGTGAGTGTTGGAAATATTTATTTATTATTTATTTATTTGTTTCTGAAACATGTTTCCCTTCACACGCCGTCTACTGCTCGCGTGGCTATCGCACACACTACACCCAGGGCTGCATTCCAAACCTACGTTCCACCTATCCAGGTGCAACAAATGTCAAATTTGACATACGTTTCATACATATTAAGTCAAAATTAAAACGTCTGAGTAAAAAGTTGCACTCAGAGCGTAGATTTGGAACGGATCCCCCGCTAGCGAGCTGTCAAAAAAATGGCCGATAAAACATTACCCTGTCCCTCGACCCACGCGGGGTGATTTGTGTACGTGTTTTGCATAAGGCTCGAAAAGCAAAAAACTTTGTTGATGCAAACAAACATGTGTAGTGAAACGAAAGTTTTGTGTAGACGGTTTTGTTTGATATTGATATGTTTTTGTTGATTGTGTAGGGCAAAACACACGCTGAAGACCCGCCTTAAAATTGTTGACTTCTCAGTATCTTTGCGGCGTCTCTCCTGGTCTGCGCTGCGCATTAGTATGCACGAAGAATTTAACCGCGCAGAAGTTTACTCATTGAG